CACAACTTGAACATCAGGCGGCGATGCTGGCACGGGCCACTGCAAGCGCGATGGCACCAGGCGGGCCGCCAACGACTGAGTCTGAACCAAGACCCCAGGCAGTGCCGCCACATCCAAGCGGTCAAGCGCCTCCAGCTGAGCAGCCCCACGACTGAAAGAGGCAATCCGATGGCTCAGGCCTACCTCCGACAACTCATCCCGCCTCACTGTCTGTGCCCGGCCCAGCTTCCCGTCTGCGCGGATGGGCGTCACATCAGCCAACTTGCGGCCCCAACGTGTGAACACCTCAATGATGAAGACGTCACCGCCACGGAGCTTCGCTGTGAGTCCGCGAGCTGGCAACACCGCATCTCCGCGGCTGTCTGGCGCCATCGGAGCAAAGATATGAAAAGAGTAGAGCTTCAACGCGTTGGCTGGCGTGCGGCCTGCCACTAGCCTAGCACAAGCACCTCCCTGGCCACGTGCGTCGGAAGCGTGTTGTCTTGGCAGGTGCCGTCTGATGTCAGCGCCGGATCTGAAAGGCAAAACTCTGGCCGCGCGGGGCGCTAGTCTCCGCGCAGCCTGCTGCACATCCCGCGGCGGCGCCTCCCTGGCCTGCTGCTTGGCCCTTGGTTTCCGTGGCGACCTCTTTGGCCACACGACAAGTTTCTTGACCATGGCCGAGCACTAGCAAGTTTCATCATTCTGAGATTGGCATGTGCGGCTCTATTTGATGAAAATCTGGCACGCTGCCTGCAAGGATTCAGCACCTCAACAAACTCAATCGGAAATCTAGGATGCCTTTCTGCTTTGCTCTTGAAGCGTGCTGGCTCCAATGCCACTCCAGAGCCACTCACAGGCAATACCACCAGCTTTCACTTTGTGAGCCCGTGCGATCCCAAAAAACCATTCAGTCAGCCGAAATGTGAATTGAAACCCTGCAGGGTACAACGTGAGGAGGGCCAAGTGTGTGGGAACGCATTCAAAGATGGCGGCGTGAAAAGAAGGCAAACCGATTGAAAGATAGAAACATTCTCCGCCGACCCCTTGCCAAAGAGGGGGCGCGTGTGGGAAGGGTGGCTGGGTGGCTGGCGTGGTAATGCTGGGCACGCAAAGCTACTGGGCGCGCAGGGAATGTTAGCTTTGTACTAAAGTGATGCTCGGAGTCATAACTATAGTGGTCATCATCATCATCATCATCATCATCATCATCATCATCATCATCATCATCATCATCATTTCTTATACATATATTACAACACTGACGCTAGACATCGCTTGGGATGCAAGGGATGCTATGATGATAGATATCATCATCATCAAGGTGACCATCATCATCGTAGTCAATCATCATCATCTCTTTTTTCTTCGTCTCTTATACATACGTTTCAATACTGACGTAAGACACCGCGCTTATACGTGCACAATGCTGACGTTAGACATATAGCTCTCATCATCAGACGGCGATCATCATGCTGCTGATCATCATCATGGTAATCATCATCATTATCACCATCACCAGCGTATACATTTCAACACTGACGTTGGGATGCAGGGGGTGCCACGATGATAGCTATCATCATATCACCATCATCACCATCATCATCAAAATCCTCATCCTTTTTCCTTTTCTACACCCCAAAAGGAGCGGCGACATCCATAGCGCCGCCGGGCGCAATTTTTTAACAGCTGGCAAGAGAAAATGAGCCACCCCAAAAAGGAGCGGCAACATCCTCGGCATCACAACATCCTTAGTTTCAATTGCAGCTGTATTGACAAGATGAGAATGGTAATGCTCCGGCTGCAGTGACCGCATTTACATGACATGTCTGAAAATGTCGTTAGCAAGCCCTTAGGAAGACAGCCTTTTGTTTTTAGTCTCCCTTGCGTAAATACGCCCTTGCAGAAAAATGCCCCGTTGCAAATCGACGTGTTTTTGTTCACGTCCCGAACAGCCCAGAAAAGTCTAAAACAACTAGCTGTCTTTTCAAGCCGAAGCATCCAAGGCCCACCCATTTGACAGGGGACGCCAATCTGGGCCTCTCTTTGCAAACCCAAAGCAGGTCTAGTTAGGTTTGTCACACCCCACAGCTGGCAAGAGCAAACGGTCGGCGGCACTGGGCAGCAGCTCCCATTAAAGGAAACCACAAGGGATGAATTTTTTTGGGGGTCACATTGCCTCGGCCCCTACTGAGAAGCAGCAAGCTTTTGCTTGCGCTCTCTCCTGCGAGCTTGGGTGAGCCAGGTTTTTGAGTTGGCTTAGATGGAAACCAAAGCCACGCCTTTGGCGTTCCAAAATGAATGCTCGTTTTCATGACGGTTTGGGTAAAGTGGCCATCCCCCGGTCATTTCGCATGAGAATCAGCCAGGTATCGCAGCGATGCTTTGCGGCAACTGTCAAAAAATGATTCCCCAAGTGTGGCGAACCTGGTGAATTCCCCACGCACCTCCCAAATGGGGCCTAGACAAAACAGCGAATGTTAGCCAAACCTCACATGCTTGGCTTGATTGAAATCAGCTAGGACGTAGCTGTGGCCCAACAATGACACCAGCACGGGTCTTCTTCCGGGAGCCCGTGCCGTATGATGCGAAGGAACTCCGGGCGGCTGATGCTCTGGATGGGCTGCGCGGGCCAAGGACTTCCCATGGTGAGGGGGGCGGAGGGGGAGTTGGGGTTTTTCCTGTCATTTGAAAGCCCCAAAAGAAACCATCCACAAGCAAACCTTTTCGAGAGATCTCTCCATGATGTCCAGATCTCTCCATGATGTCCCCAGCGGGCGCACCCAAAATTCTGACAGACCCTTGTTGAGCCAACCGCACGCTTCCTCCATTGGGACGAGGAACTTGCAAAGAAAGCGCTCCATGTTTGTGGGCGGTCCACTCGTTTGTTCCTCAGATTTTGAGCAGGTTTTTGTAGTGAAAAGGGACAAGAGGGACACGATGACACCCGTGTCCCCCAGAACCGTCCTAAGAGCCCCTTTCATGAAGGTTGGTTTCCAGAAACTGTTGACAGGGTGGTGGGGGGCTTGGGTTTGTTCCTGAAAAATGAAACAAAGCTCATATCCCCTTCCTTCATCTTCACGATTCGGCTGCAAGGTGTGGTCGCCCAACCAGCATCCCCTGCAGGCAACAGCTTGGTGCCGGAAAAAGGGAGGCTGGGGAAGATTCATCAGCGTAGCCCGCCCTCTCAAAACAATGCACTCCTTTTGACTACCCGCTCTTTACCAGCAATTCCAAAATGGGGCCCAAGTTTTAGGCAACGCTCATCCGAGTGTCATCCAGCACACCCGAAAATGCCAACTCCGGCCCGCGCCCGGGCCTGACAGGTCACGTCGTAGCGGTCAAAGAGCGCGTAGGTCCGAAACAGGTGACCCCTACTAGTAAACAACAGTCTAGCCGGGCCGAGTTGTTCTTCTTGGTTGGGAGGAGGGCTTTGTTAGCCCGGGGAAGGGACTCCGCACAAGCCAGTTTTACACACCTGAGTCCCGCAGCTGCAACTCACCTGAAGAACAGACCCTCTAACATGGAAGTCCCTTCACCGTCTTTTCCTGGCGAATTGCCAGTCTTATTTTTTTTACTGGGAAGGTACGACAATCTCCTAACATAGAATCTGTGCCAGGTGCCCCTGGCCACGGCAATCCCGAGGTTTCCCAAAACAGCCCTAAATTCTTCGGGGGGCTTTCGAGCCTGCACTTCCATGTAAACGAAAAAACGTGAGTGAAAACACCAACGAAAGTGTCCTAACATAGAACCTGAAAATGGGCCCTGCACTTCCATGTTAGGAGCAGTTTCGCATATCCCTGAGAAACAGTCGTGAAGTGGCATTTCCCCGGTACGCTTAAAATTACGCTCTCCGAGTCAATCTCACCCCCACATGACGAGTTGTACGTCGTGCCTAGGTTGGGCTCTGGGCCAGTTCTGGACGGGATGTGGGGGGAGTTCGGTTTGTGTTGGGGGGCGGGGGTTAGGGCTTTTGAGGGTTTGAGGGAGCCGTTGCCCAAACCATTTTCGGAAGTCAGCTGCGTGTTCTAAAATGCGGAAGCCGACCAAAGACTTCCAGGGACTTCTATGTTAGCATTTATCAAAAGCCTGTTTTTTCGACTAACCTGCAAAAAAATAAAAGCTTCGGACCTTCCTGATGAATTCCAGGGAGTGTACGCGCTTGCAAGCTTGAGGGTTGGATCGGCGCTGGTAAGACGAGGCGCTGGTAAGACGCTTAGACGCTTAGGCGCTGGTAAGACGCTTAGACGCTTAGGCGCTGGTAAGACGCCTGGACGCTTAGGCGCTGGTAAGACGCTTAGACGCTTAGGCGCTGGTAAGACGCTTAGACGCTTCGGCGCTGGTAAGACGCTTAGACGCTTCGGTGCTGGTAAGACGCTTGGACGCTTTGGCGCTGGTAAGACGCTTAGACGCTTTGGCGCTGGTGAGACGCTTGGACGCTTAGGCGCTGGTAAGACGCTTAGACGCTTAGGCGCTGGTAAGACGCTTAGATGCTGCGGCGCTGGTAAGACGCTTAGACGCTTCGGCGCTGGTAAGACGCTTGGACGCTTTGGCGCTGGTAAGACGCTTAGACGCTTTGGCGCTGGTGAGACGCTTGGACGCTTAGGCGATGGTAAGGCGCTTAGACGGCTTAGGCGCTTAGGCTAGAGGTTTAGACGCTGGCTACGCGCTTAGGCTTAGGCTTGGTAAGATGCGTAGAGGCTTAGACAATGGTCAGGCGCTGAGACGCTTAGGCGCTGATAAGACGCTTAGAGGCTTAGACGCTGCTTATGCGTTTTGAGAAGTAGGTTTGGTAAGAGGCTTACAGGCTTAGACACCGATTAGGCGCTTAGAAGCTTAGCTGCTTGCCAGCCTGCGGTTGCAAAGTTTAGAGGCTTAGGCGCTTAGAGGCTTGAAAGCTGCTTGTCCCTAACACCTAGCGAGCTGAGCGCTTAGAGGCTTAGAGGCTTAGAGGCTTAGAGGCTTAGAGGCTTGCGTGTTTTTTTCTGGACCCCTCCTCCTACTACAATGCTTTTTCCGGCCTTCCAAGGCCGCCAGGGCCGAATTGAAGGAGACTTCGTCGGACATCCTGGGGCTCAAGAGGCTGACCGCCTGTTGCCAGCTCTGGCTACGGCCAGCCGCGCTAATGACCACGTTCAGGCAATGGGTGTCGGGAACAGGCCCGCCCAAGCACATGGACGTCAAGAGCCCCAGCGCCGCTTCCCAAATACCAGCCTTGCTGGTGGCATCTAGGATGGTGCCCCAAGCCACCGTCCCCAGCTGCAGGTCCGCGGCTGAAAAGCTCTGCAGCAAATACTCGGCCCGCCTCCACAAGGGCTTCGCGAGGCCACTGAGCGTGACCGCGCTGATGCCGCAGGAGAAGACATCGGGTCTCATGCCCTTTTCCGGCAGCAAGTGCAGCACCTGGGGGCATGGTCCAAACTGAGGACACTTTTCTTGGGAAATTCCAAGGCCAACAAAGTGGCACGTGGCCACCTGCCCCAAACAAGGGCCAACAACCTAGGGGCTTGGGCCCTACTTCCGCCCCAGCTCTTTGGTTTTTGGGCACGTGCAGCGACTCTCTCCATGAGCTCCGGCGATTGCACGCGCCGGCCACCGAGTTGTAGCTGATGGTGTCCTGCCGATTCCGCCGCTCCCTGGCCGCGGCCAAGAGGCCCACGGCCTCTGCCCAGGGCGCCCCCTTCAAAGTCCATGGGCCCTCCAATGCGGCGCGCCAGGCGCTGTCACGCGCCCGCATGCCATCAGGGAGTGGGGTGTTCTCTGTTTAAGCTTTTGTTGCCTGGTTTCGGGCTCCAAAGGCCACAGGCCCGGTGGGGAATTTCGATTTCATTGCTTTTCATGGCCTTCCAGTTCGAGTTCATTTGGGCGGCCAAGTCTCCTAAGCTCGGTGCCTTCTTTTAGAGCTGGTCGCAGGTTAGGGCTGGGAGGGTGAATCGTTAGCTCAGCAGGTTGTCATCCCGAATGGTGCCCTACGTCCTTGACACGTAGTCTGATCACTACACTTCGGCCTAATGCATTTAGTCCAGTTGCGAGCTAGTTGCCTGAGAAATGGTAAGACCCAAACAAATCAAGCAAGCAGGTGTGAAATGCCCTTAGCCTGGAGAAGCTTTATTGTTGCTTTACCTCGTTTTAGCATCAAACCACTATGGCGTTGGCGCTCGTGTTGGCAATCCAAGTGTCTCTTTCCATCCTGGACGCGGATGATATGTCGGGTAGCCCTCTCTGCTTGGAGGGGGGACATGTTTCAAGCGCCCTGCCCAAGCCGGTTGTCTTTGAGCCGGCCTGGTGCGAAGCCAGCGGGGTTCTGAACTTTCTGGATAACAGGATAACCCAAAATTCGGATCACCCAGCAAAGTGTCCAACTTGACCAGCTGAGCCAAGGAGTGGAAGAGTCCCTTTCGAATTCACTTTGCATGCATGCGGCCGCACGCATACAGACCATCCCCAAACGAGGACCCACCCTTCAGTGCCAGCGACTCTGCAAGGCTTGGCTCCGCACTCCACGACGTTCAAAGATTGCCGCCTCTCAACCTTTCAAGACCATGGGTGTCATTGTGCCTGGTGTTCGGGACCTCCTCTTCCATTTGGCTAAGGCCGCGGGAAAAAATAAAACTATTTCCAGTAGTGATGAATTCCTTCTAAAACCAACAAGGGAAAATGACAAATATTCTTAAGCAAATGGAGGTCCTTGTCCTGGAAAGCTGTCTGGCGACACCTTTTCACGAAGTCTCCTGGAAAAGGCCCAGCCCAGGGAAGATTGGCTACGGAAATTCATGAGCCCGGAAAGGACTTGATAGCCTGTCTCCTTCATCCCTGCATGGCGTGAAACCAAGGCAGACCCAAGTTTGCCTCAGGCAATCCCATTTGCCTGCCTGCTGGGGGAAGGTGTATCCGGTCCTGGGCGTACAGACTCCAGTTCAGGGTTACGAGGTGCTTGCGATTGCTGGGGTTTCCAGCTGGTTCACATGCGAATTTCGAGGGCACGCAGCTGGTTCACACGCTCAACCGCTCGCTAATGTCAGACCGTCTCATATGTGCAGATGTTTCCGGCAGCGCAGCCTAAAAAGTCCCCATGCCAGCAGCCCTGGGATGCTTGCTGAATGGCTGGGCCGGAGAAGGCGGCATTCTCACCTGCGCGCCCAACCAGCCAAGCCTTTGGGCTTTAGGCCAAGTGGTGGTCTTCTAGTGCTTCCTGTTACAGAGACTAACGATACAGTTGGACTCCCGGCATGAAGATTGAAGGATTTCAGGCCCGCTGATCTCAATACAAATTCGGGCCTCCCCTTGCATCTTCCAGTTCTCTTTCAGGCCCAGGCATCTCTTCAACACACTTGTGCCTTCAAAGTACGTCTCACTTCCTACGCAAAGCTTCCACATGTAGCCTCCCGCTGCCCAACAAGAATTCACCAACAATTCGCCGCCATTGGCCTCGCATGTATTCCGTCGGGAAGGTGATGCGAAGGATGGCTCGTGGGTCACACCTCAGAGCACATATTGAGACTAAACAAACTCCTGGCGCGGTGACTTTTCAAACATGATGTGACATGGGCAAACAATAGCCACCAATCTGAAATTTGCTCGCATGCATTTCCCAAGGTGCGCAACTGGCATTGCACAAGCTGAATGCATGGCAAACAGAGAGCTATTGCCAAGCGCGGCATTTCTCCAGGACAGAGAGGGCACTGTATCCTCTTGAGGCTTTGGGTGAGCAGTCAGCCACTCATGTTCATGTAAAATGCTCTCCATTTCAAACAAACAGTTCAAGCTTCCCGCACAGGACATGGAGCCACCTTCCCAGCCCAACAGCACGAGTGGCAATGATCCGGCAACCAAAGGTTTCCCGGTTTCCCTGACCACTCAACTGAATACATTTGCCGAGGCGTGGCCATGTTGGCCCGCACATGTTTGCTGAGCGCAGGGCATGGTTGTGCAAATCCACTTTCCTCTTGATACCAAAGCGGGGTTCCCATCCCTCACTGCTTGATCACTTCTATGGGGGGGCCTTCCGCTACCGCAAACAGGTCCACTACCGATTTTCCACAACCACGACGCAGGGTGCTGTACAACTGCCCTGGCCATTCGCTACTCCAAGTCCAAGTCGATTTCGGCGACCGTAGGCTGCAGCTTGGCAAAGACTGTTGCCCGCGCCGCTGGCTCGCCTGCATTCTCTTACTCCCTACTCTCTGACTCGCTCGCTATCTACACTTGAGCTGCCGCAACAGGTGGCCAACTTCTTTGCTATCTGGCGCACAAACAGCAACGTTGCCAATGGATGACAGAAAGGTCAAAGGATCAAACCAAAGAGCAACCAAGCAGCTGCTTTGGCCCAGCTCCCTGAGTTCTGCCAGCGGCGGTGCCGAGGTTTCGACGTCGGGGAAGTCGAGCGCGTCCGCGGCGTCCGCGGTGCCAGGGCCGTCGGCGTCGGCTTGTGGCGTGCCACGCGCGCGCCCGCGGCCACGGCCTCTTCCGCTCGCCTTGGCCTTGGCCTTGCGGGCCTTCTTGGCGGGTGGCTTGGCATCTGAGGACAAAGAAGACACCTGGGTCGACGCTCGCAACGGCTTCTGTCCCTGCGCATCTTGTCTCTCCCTCGTTTTCCATCTTGACCCCACACCCACCAGTCGCCGGGTCCCCCAAAAAATGGGACCCTTTTGGGCTTCGTGGGCCCTGAGCCCACCAAAGAGGGGCACGCCCAGCGCTTCCGCTTCCGGCCTCAGAGTTGCCCGTCGAGGACGCGGACTCGGACTCCGAGGACTCGGACTCGGAGCTCCACTGGCAGCTCCGCTTGGGCCCGGAGGAGGCCGAGGAATTGGCCTGACGCATGCGAGTTGCGAGTCCCAGACCCCCGCAAAATTTTCACGAATGCGGGGACTGGTTCGTTACATTGGGGGCATTCAAGGAGGTCCAAAAATAAAGTGTTGAGAGGTCTTTGACCTGTCCTTGAAGGGTTCCCTCATGTGGCAATGGACAACCTGGACAAAAACAAATTCCGACCCTTTCTGCAAACCAAACTGATCATGCGCCACCTCAGAATGCTTTTAGAAGAACTTCAAAAAGAAACGCTGGAGGTGCAAAGCACGGAGCCGATGAGCTGACATGCCAATGTCTGCCTTTCTTGAAAGCATTGAGGGATGCGCTTCTGTTTGGCAAGGCGCAGGCCAAATCAAACTGGGGAGATCCTTAAGATCAGGAGCACTGACTGTCTGTTGCCAGCCTCAGGTTTGCATGAATGGTCACGAGAAGCTGCTTTACATTTGCCCACCTTGCCCCGGTTGTCAACGGCTGCTATGCCATGTGCGTCACCATGAAAACTAGGAATTGAAGCGACCTACCCAAAGCCACGCAATGAATCAGCTTCCCCTACCTGGTCCTGTGCCATTAAACCCCTCGACTAGGTTCCCACTCCCAGCCACGGGCCAGACAGGACGCCTCAGGCTGAACTACTGACGCCCTCATCCAAACACACCTCTCTTCTTGCTCACCATGCAGGGAGAATATGTCCTTTTGTGGAGTCACCAGTCACAGGGAGACAAGAACAAAACCTGGCTCATGAAAGGCACATCCTGCTCTTTTGAGTCAGGTGGCTGCCGCCGTTGTGTGTTGAATTCAGGCTATGGCTGGTCCAATAGTGCAGTGGTCCAGTGTGAAAACTGGCTTACTCTCCAGATTGGCACGGAACTGTAGCCTTCCTTTTCGGGTTCCAGGTTTGCAGCAGCGGAGTAGCCCACTTTGCCTGGAAAAGGGGGCTCCATTTAGTTGATTCCTCTTGACACAGAACGTAAACATGTCGATTGCCTTTGAAACCAACAGGGGGGGAACTCAGTTGCCCAAAGTACCTGGAAACAAAAGGTTGGCCTTTTGGAACCTTGACGAAATCTGGTTGCCAAATCGAGGAAACCAAAAGATCAGATCAGATTCAGCTTTGTCCCGGGCCTCTAGGCTTTCGCCTCGCAGCCATCTCCGCACCTGGCAGCAGGAAATTTGGCTGGTGCCAAAGTGGTCACCGGTTCCAACAAGGTGAAATGGCCACAAGGGATTTGGTTGTCACAGAAACATGGCCCCCCAACGAAATTATGTCGATGTTCTTGGGTTCTGTAGATCCCCCAGCGAAAAGTCACACTTTTTGCTGGTTTTAAGGAAATATGAGGGGAATCCAAAAAGTTAAAGTCTAAAGATCCAACCCAATAACAGTATAGTGTTCAACCACGTGTCCAACTGAGGTCTGTTGCCCCAGGGCTGGAAATCTCTCTGACGCACCGACGCCCTCAAACCTGCTCAACGCGTCGCGTGTGGGGACCTGCCCATCCCGCTCTTTGGGGAGGTGGCTTGAGCACTGCAGAACGGAGCTCATGGGCCTAGCCATTAGGAAATGGCCGTGCCAACAGCGTTTGACCGTGGTGATGTGCCAATACTACTACGCCATAACCAAATACGATATGTCAAAAAACAGGCAAGCCACCAGCAAGGCCGGCATTCTGGAAGCAAGTCTCAGCCTGCTTCCGCTTTCCATGGGGAGACCAAACCCCCCAAACCTGAAATAAGCTCTCCCCGAGTACAGGACCACCACGATAGTAGGCAGGTTTTCCCCCCGCCAAACCTAAAAGGGGCGTCAAATGAGTCCATCAAGGGAACCACCGCCGAACTCGTCGCCGCGCTCGTCAAATCAGTCGCCTCGGAGAGGCGCTTGGCTTTCTGGTTGGTGCCCGGCAGGGTGTCGCAGACCCGCGCCGAGAGCCGCTGGCAGCTCTCCAGGTTCTGAGCCATCGCCTCCTGGAAGCGCCGGTCCAGCCTCGCACGAGGTGTTCTTCTGGATGAATCACCACGGCTACATGGGGGAGAAAGGGGAAACCGGGTCCCAAAGTCTGGAGAAGCCTGAATCCAAAATTCAGGCTGAAGTTCACCATGTGACCCAACTTGAAGAGCTAACCAATCACATATCTAGGCATGGTTTGGTCAAATCATCCCAGGCTTGGGACTCTTTCTCACATGCTTTGAACGGATGAGATGCCTAGAGATGCCCGAGGAACCAAGAGTCATCGACACTTCTTCCCGAGGAACGTTGTGTCCGAGCGCATTTGTGGGAACACGGGCACTGAGCTTGGTGGGTGAGCGAAAGCTAGCCATTTTAACAGGGACACGTAGGTTCCCAGTCGCCAAGATATTCAGAAGAGCAATCTTAACTGGAGCACCGAGCAAGTCATGACTGCCCGGCCTTTGGCGCACGGTCTTGTTTCCAGTCTGGTTTTGCTGGGGTCCCTTGCAGCGATGTCTGCCCTTCCGGCCGTGACCATTTCTCCCACAAGCAGGTCATTAAGACCCGAAGCTGGACCGGGTCCTGATGAGAAAGATTCCCCTTCCTGAACGAGTTTTGCAGCACAACATCCATAACATGGCCCGTCGCCTGAAAAACAGAGAGGTTATGCAAGCGAGCCCAGGAAACGTCTTGAATGAGTTTCGGTCGATGTCGAAACAAACGGCCCTTCCAGCCAACGTGCGACACGTACATAGCACGCTGCCAAAACTCAAGTCAAGTTAGAACCCAAGTTAGAACCGCCCTGGTTTTCCTGCTCGAAGTGTCTTTAAAAAAACCTTCAACCTCATGGGCTTGGCAAGTTGAACGTGCAGCCTGGGAGCTCGGGAAAGCCGCTTCTCTGCATGATGCATGGGAAGATGTCGCTTCCACTGCCCAAGGCCGATTCAGGACTGGTGATCAGAGTCGACGCTTTGACGTACTCGTACTCCACACCAGAAACCGAGCGCGTGCGATGGCGGCTCATCTTCTCCTCTACGGTATCTCGGTGCACCAGCACCTCGGTGAGCAGCCTACCTCAAGTCGAAAGGGCGCTGATGCTTGCAGCTGGCAAGCAAGGCTCATGAACTAAGCTCGGGTCATAAAACGTCGGCCTGGCCTGAGCAATCATGGGGACCCCGAGCAACTTAGGTAAACCCACCATTTCAAAGCTAGCATGGGGACTATGAAGCAGCCACAAAGGGGAGCCCTTGAAACGACCCCGCAGCTTTAAACAGGAAAGACTTCCCTTTTCGTCTCGCCCGCACTGGACATCCATGTCCTGACATCAGACCCTACTGCATGCCAAGTCAACGAGGCTTAAACAACATCTCATTGGACCTTAGGGGCGGGTAACACTAAACCAGCGAAAGGTTGTAAACGCCGCCCGTGTCTACGGCCAGGGACGGGACCATCCCGAACAACCCTGCACCTTTCGCGGGGTTCTTTGGGTCCCAAAACCACCATGCCACATGGATTCAAAGTGCCATCTTCTGGGGTCGCCCCCCTTTAAACCTACCTAAAACTCAGGCAACCCTCAGTTGGTGAGGTTTCAACACCTGGTTCTTGTAGAGGCCTGGGAAACCGTCCCGGAACACCACCAAACCCATGAGCCACTCCGCGCGCGCGCGTTCTGCGCCCTCTGCGCCCTCCGCGCCCGCGCCTCGCTGGTCTCCCAGAAGCGGCGCTTCACCTTGCCCCAGCGCAGCAGCCGCCCCAAGCGCTGCTGCTCCTGGCGGCGGCTGGCGAAGTGCCCGCCCATCTGGATCATCACCTCAGCTCCACGCAAAATCCCCGCAGGTGGGGGGGGGGAAAGGGTTTGGCGGGTTTGGGCCTTGTAGCTCCAGGCACAAAACCAAAAACCTCGGGGGGGGGGGGGGGGGGGTTGGTGGGTTTAGGCCATGTTCATGTTTTTTCTCTTTTTGTGGGGGGAGGTTTAGGGGCACTTCATTCACCAACCCCAACGAAGGGATCCACAAGTAAGGCTTCATCAAACTGAGGGATTTTTGGTTTCGGCGTGCTTTAAACTAATAAAGCCAGGTAGTACAACCTACGGAAATAGCCAGTAGGGGATTCAAGCTTTGCTCGCAGCTAGGCCAAAAGAGTCTGGGGATACGCGTGGCTATGAAATCTAATGTGGAACGCAAAGCATGGCTAGTGAACGTTAAATTACACCAGCATAGACCCCAGATAGCGAAACGTGTGGCCAACGACAGTACGCCAGCACCTCTAACAGCACTGCCCGAAGAGCACCTCAACCAACACCAAACAGCATCCCAAAAATATTGTAGCACCTGCACAAGAATCCCCAAATTGCATGCCCCCTAGCACCCTGCCGTCAATCTCGCAACAACACCCCTGGCCGTCACAAGGCCCCCAAAAACAGCACCTGCACCAGCCGTAAAATTTCTCGCAAAACGCCACGCTCGTCACCAGCCCCTCAACACCATCCGCACCATCACCCCGAACAGCACCGCCAAACGGCACTCCCAAACCACCCGGCCGTCAATCTCGCAAATATGTACTCGCACCGTCACCAGCACCTCATCTCAAAACACCACCTGCGCCAGCACCCCAGACTGCATGCCCCCTAGCACCCTACCGTCGATCTTGCAAAAGTGTGCTCTCACCGTCACCTGCACACAGCAAAACAGCACCAGCACCAGCACCCAAACTGCATGCCCTAGCACCATGCCATTAATCCAAACAAACTGCGCCCGCACCAACACCAGCAGCTCAAACAGCACCCTAAACAGCACCTACACCAAAACCCCAAACTGCATGCCCCCTAGCACCCAGCCGTCAATCTCGCAAATCACTTTCCCTTCTTTATTAGAAGTTAGAACCCCTGAAGCTTTCAGCTATCTGGGGAACAAAGATGTAATGAATGTCCACCACGTGAAATTCATGTTGGATCGTGGGCAACCGAGAAAGCCGGGAGTTGGCGGAGTAGAAGGCAGCATGGCGGTTTGTGGCGAGTGTAGAGGCCTCGAGGCTTAAACATGTTGGGAAGCGCAAAGGCTTTGAAAGGCTTCCGATCGCATAGAGGCTTGAAGGGCCACAAAAGACTGCACATTGAGGCCGTGTTTGGCGGCTTCGAGGGGCCGTGCTCCCACCCCTGCTGTCACACAACTACAGCCATTGCCGGATGCTTATCGGGACTTTTGTTGCACTGTCCCTTGCTGAATTTGTATGACATCATGCATGGACACTCGTTGGCCAGTGTTTCTGCTTCCGCTGGACATGCGGCATGGGCACTGACAGCTCTGGAAAGTCTGCTGAATCATCCAGGACGTGTGTTGCAACCAGCGCGAGGATCCTTGGATCAGCAACATGTGACAGATACCCTGCCACGTGCAAACTGAAACGGGGGCCCTGGAAGACCATCCTCTACAAAAGTCCTTCTGGCTAGTTCCATGCTAGAATCAGCAGACAAATGACCACTAGGGTGCATCAACCTCGAACATATTCTCGAACAAGGGTGGCAGAGCCAGTGAACATGCAAAACCGGCGGCATGCCGAAAAGCAACACAAGCCGCAAGCAACAAAAAATCGATTGACCCGCTATCAGAAGCCGGAGCGTCTTCCTTTGCCGGAATCGTTCCAGGTAATCTTTCATCTGCGCTGCAGGCACTGACCCGTCCAACGGTATGATGCCGAACATGCTGGCGATGAGTCTCGCCTGAGCTGGGACAGGCACGCCGTAACCATCTGCTTAGCTGAAAGTCCCAGCTAATTCAAATCGCAGTCGAAGCTCCCTCCCCACCAAAAAGGCGATTCGTAGTAGTACCAATCACAGAAACACGAGGCACGGGAAATATGAGTTGTTCAAAACTGATGCCAACATCAGCAAACGAGATAGCAAAATGCAAGAAAGTGGCACTGCGGATCTTCCAAATAGTAGCTTTGGTTTTGCCATCCCAATCAGGGGTTCCTTTTTTCTTGACGCGTTCTCATGGCTCACTGATCATCCAGCTTGCCATTGCCCGATTTGGGTGTTGGAAACTTTGGAAACCAGTCCCACACAGCAACAGAAACGCAAACACACCCAAAGCCACCCACCACACAGCCACACATTTTGCGCAAGAACAAACCTAGAAGGCCACCCCGCTTGGTGTTCAGCCTGGTTTTCGGTAACCCAACGGGTCCAAAAAACGGCGCGTCTTCTTTTCTGCGGTTCCCATGGCCTGCTCGCACCGCTCCACCGTGATGAGCAGCGACTCCTGAATCCGAAGGGGGAGCTGGGTGCTGAAGCGAGGATCTGGAAAAATCACATCAGTTCAATCTCCACCGTCTTTTTGGAAGGGACACTTCAATTGATTGGGATTTGATTTGTTCTTGTCCCGTCAGGGACATTTCAATTGATTGAGTCACATCAGTTCAAGAACAATTGATTGGGTATTTCAATATCTCTCTCTCTCTCTCTCTGTCTCTCTCTGCCGTTCAGTCCAGAGGGTCTTGACTCAGCAAGGCAACGAAAAAGGTGCCCACTGACATAATCTCAATATTCACCTCCTTTTCTTTTTTCCGTAAGGGACATTTCAATTGATGGGGTTGCTTAGCACCCAGGCAGCAGAAACACCAGCCGAAATCCCCAGACAACAGACGGCGTGTTGGGCACGAAGGGTCAAATTAAAACGTTACTCTTAATGATGGAACTGAAAATCTGACAATCTTAGTGGTTTAACGTGAAAATCTTGATAGCATAAAGTCTGCACATCTTTGAGCCTTAGTGGCTTAACCTGCTAAAATCTTAATAGCTGAAAGTCTTAAACCATTGACGGCTGGAAACATGAAAACCTAAATGGATGAAACTCTGAAAAATAGGAATGGCGTGAAATCTGAAAATATGTGTGGCTTAACGTGTTCACATCTGAACGGCTTAAAATTCATAAACTAATAATGACTTAATATCTTCAAATCCTGACGGCTTAACATTTTTTTTTTTATCGTGAGGGCTTCAAATGATAAAATCGTAATGGCTTAAAAGTTTCGAATATTAATGGGTTAACGTCTAAACATCTTCATGGCGCAAAGCGTTTCAGTCTCAAGGGCTTTAAATCTCAATGGCTGACATCTTAAAATATTGAAATATCAATGGTTGAAAACCTGAAAGTCCTAATTGATTAACATCTGAAAATCTGAATGGCTTACATCTCATGGCTGAAAGTCTTTAAATGGCAATGGCTTACAATCTTGAAATCTCAATGGCGTCAAACCTTAGAATCTTAGTGGCTTAACGTGTCAAACTCGTCATAATCTGAAGGGCGTCAAATCGTAGAATCGTAATGGCTTAAAATCTTAAAATCAAAGTGGCTGGAAACCTGAAAATCGTACTGGATTGAACTCTGAAACTTTGAACGGCTTATAATTGGTAAATGGGTAAACGTGTTAACATCTTAAAGGCTTAAAGACTTCAGCTAGTGATGGCTTCCTTGGAATCTTAATGGAGTAATATCTTAAACTCTTAGTGGCTCAACGTGGTAAAAACTGATTGACTTCAAGTCTTAACATCTCGATGGCTTAAATCTTCAATCTGAATGGCTTAAAGTCTTAACATCTCCATGGCTTAAAGTCTTCAAATCTTAGTGACTACACATACTATGTTCTTGATGGCGGAAAGTCTTGAAATCTTGGCTTTGAACATGTCAATGGATTAACATCTAAACAACGTTATGGCTGAACATCTTGGATCCCGCAAGACACGAATGGCACAATGCCAACGGGACAATTCCAATGGGAAAACCCCGATGTGAGAATTCCAATGGGAGAATTCCAATGCGAGACATTCAAAGTGAAAAGTCCAGTGGGAGAACTCCCATGAGAGAAGTTGGACAACTCCAAAAATATAATTTGCATGGAAATATGACAATTCCAAAGAGTGGGAGAATTCTCAAGGGAAAATTCCAGTTTGACAATTTCAATGGGAAAATTCCAATGGGACAATTGTACAGGAAAACTTCCAATCGGAGACTTCCAATGGGAGAATTCTAATGGGACAATTTGAATGGGAAACTTCCAACGGAGAATCCGCAAGAAAATATCAAGAGAGAATTCCAAAGGACACTTCCAATGGGAAAATAGAAGACTCCCAATGGGACAATCCCAAAGGCACGCATATACTAAAGCAGGCGTGTAATGTCGGCGGCGTTAAAGTCTTGCAGACAGCCAAATTCTGGCCCACTGTGCAAAGCCCACTCGGAGCATAATGCCAAACAAAGGAGAACTGAGCTCAGCCCCTCGCATGATAAATTTCATCCAGGGGACCCTTCACATTTTTGCTCCAATGGTACGATTCTCAAACCTGAGGCAGGAGAGCCCATAAAGTGCGCCAAGAAGGCCAGCAATGATGCTCATCCAAATGCTGATGCAGTTACCCGATGTGATGGGTGCATTTCTGGAAGTAGGAAACCTGGAAAAGTACATGCACAAACACACATAACTACATACATGTATGCAAAAACGTATGTATGTATGTATGTATGTATGTATGTATGTATGTATGTATGTATATATGCGTATGTACGTATACAAGCATGTCTGTCTGTCTGCATATGATGCATGTATGCCGTATGCATGTCTGTCTGTATGTATGTTTTTATGTACGTATGTGCGTATGTAGGTATGCAGGGACGTATGCACGCATGTACGTACGCACGCATGTATGTAAGTGTGTACGTAAGCATGTAGGTAAGTGTGTACGTATGTACGCATGTACTTATATACGTATGTATGTATGTATGTATGTATGTATGTATGTATGTATGTATGTATGTATGTATGTATGTATGTATGTATGTATGTATGTATGTATGTGTGTATGTATGACGCATGCAGTTCTGTATGCATGTATGTATGTAAGTATGCATGTATGTCTGCATGTATGTCTGTATGCATGTATGTACGTATGTATGTACGTATGCATGTAATATTGCATGTCTGTATGTATGTGCGTATGTACGTGTCACGTTTTTTTTTTTTTCCCAGTATGTATGTATGCATGCATGCATGCATGTCTGCTGTATGTATGTTTGTAGGTAGGTCTGTATGTATGTTTGTATGTCTGTATGTATGCATTCATCATCTGCTTCAAATACAGCAGTGCAAACATATTATATATATATATATGTCACATGTATAGTACATATTTTGTTTGGTTCGTCAAATATAGATGCACGGATCACCATTTCAGGGTTCCTCTCTTTCGCTTGGCCGGCCTCCGCGTGCCTGGCGAGGAGGTGCTCCAGCACCGCCCACTTGCCGCTGGAGAGGCACACCGCCGCCGCCAGGGGCTGGCGCTGGAAGAGCTTCCGCCAGGTGCCCACCACCGGCACTGAGACCTGCGGTTCACGTCCCAGATGTGGAGGGACACCAAAACTTGGTTGCTTTGTGCTCCCCTGCTAAAAGTTTAACTTTTAGTGGTTTAATGGAAAAACAGTAGTTGGCAACAAGTTAAAGTCCTAACATCCAAGCAAAATTCTCCAAAGAAAACTTGCGACCGTCAGCAGGGAATGAGTTGGAATGACCCCAGGAGAAAAGAAAAGAAAAACAAAAACATCCCCGATTTGGTTTCCTTTAAGATTTCTGGTTGCTGAGAACCAGCAAGAAAAGGAAACCATTAGGGGAGCCTCCAAACAGGGGAGCCTCCAAACAGGGGAGCCCCAAATAGGGGAGCCCCAAATAGGGGAGCCCCAAATAGGGGAGCTGCGGAAATAGGCAGAGGAGGTCTGGAAAATTGAACCACATCTTGTGTCACACGACGCATGTGAATTGCTATGGGTTGGGAGCACGCCACCCCCGGCATACAGTACTTCAAGGGGCTGGGGGTAGGACGGATAGGAAAGCTTTTGGGATGCAAGGGGGATCCACCGGATTTCCAGCAGCCCACGTCTTTTGGTTGAATGTTTTGACTGCACATCGCCGGGCGGGGGGGAATTGAAAGCATGAACCAGATGGATTATCTTGTGGCCTCCCACTTTAAAGGCCATCTAAAAATGCGCTAGTTTTTCAGCACCAGAAGTGCTCCGCAAATGGGGGTGTCTGAAAACAGCGGAGCCTCCAAAATGGGTGGTGTCCCTTTGGTTTTCCATTCGAAGTGGAACCCTCTCACCAATTAACATGGACCTGACGGGGGGTCCCTTTGAAGGGAAAATTGTTCCAGATTGTGCCAGGACCCTTTTTGTCAGGTTCCAAGTGAATTGGTGGGAGGGTACCCACAGTAAAGACATGAGCCAAATGGGTTTTCCTTGTGGCCTCCCTCTAAAGGCCACCTAACATGGCCAAAAGCCCCTTTGGAAGGGAAACCACAGAAACCACATCCCATGCCTGCTGGAGCTTGGCATTTCTCCCCGCCTCCAGACACCGCACGGGGGCCAAGTACTGCGGGGCCAAGCGTGCGAAGGTCTCCTGCCAACGCCGCAATGGGTAACCCAACCGGGCCGAAAGGAAACCAGCAAAACCACCAAAACGGAAAACACACACACACAAAAAAAAGCAAAGGGAAAACAACAGGAAAATAATAACGAAAAACCGAAAGGAAGCCAAAAGAGCTTCATAGGCGTTCATCGCAGAGTCTCCCGAAAGACGCACTTGCCCAGCAGCGGCCAGGGCACGTCCTCCTCTTCTTTGCCACCTTCACGGAGCCTCGGGCGACCGGACCAGATTTGCCGCTATAGCCTGATGACTGGCTGACTAACTTCACTGATTCATTGGTTCAAACACCAAGCACATGCAAATCACAAGCCTGTCAATGTGTCGCAAACAAAAAGCCGCGTGTGCAAAGCTGAGCTCTGACCTTAAGCGACTTGGTAGCTACCCACTTGACCTTGAAGCTCTTTCCGGGTTAACGATGTTCATGTGACAGCAGTTGCTGGCTTCCCCCCATGTCCTGTCACCTGTGAGTTCTGGGAACTGAACTGGTCTGCCTCTCAGCCCAGTGGCCATGAGGAAGAGACCCCCTTTTTGTGGGTTGAATTTGAAGGGAACCCTGCCCCGCAAAAGGAAGCATTGGTGCTACTGGGCGACTGAGCAAGCGGTGGCGGCAAGCCGGGGGGAAACACAGGGATTCGATGCTTTACCTCTGGCAAACAGCCTCGAGGCATGAACAGTGGCAGCATGTGGAGGAAGATCCCTCTAGGACATTGCCGTCCTAACAAGACTACTTGCCAACACGCATGCATCTATACACGTGCACACCCGTGCAATATGTGGTGTCTTTGCTCCCTGACTCCAACAACGTGATGATTAGCTTTCCTGAGTCGGACCAATACCCACCTGTGGTTAGACTGCGCTATTGGATGTCTAGCTGCCTTTTGGCGAATCCAGCGGCCCGGGGTTCTACTGTCGCGGGATTGGCGAAAAAGCCGTCAGAAGGCAACTACTTCCATGTTTACGTAAAAGCAGGATACAAACAAAAGCCGAACATCACCCCGGTTCCCTTCGCCGAAAGAAGATGTGAGTCGGAACCAAACCCATGATCAAGAATCAAGATAGCGGACACCAATACGACACCTACTAACTAACCTCCACGTACCTGGGTTTGATTGCGGCTCATCGTGTCTGGCAATGATGTATTGGGTTGTGTTTTGATGCTCACGCTGCCTTGCTTGGTTCGTCTTACCACAAAAGCCACTGCCAAAATGCAAGTTTGCGCGACTGAGCTCAGGGCTCCTGAACCGAATTCTACCTGCTGGGGGTCAGGATCCCCGATAGTAGCTGGTAAAGTTGATCTTTCACTGGCCCAATTCTGCGCTTCTCAATCGCTTAGTTCCCTTTTCGGCTTTCTTTCAACCAACCAAACAGGGCTCCATCATTTCTAACCTCTCCGACTGTACCCCGTAATGTTAGCTCCCTATGAATCAACTCCAGCTTATGAATAGGGGGATGTTCCCTCCAAAAAAGTGGTCTGATTCCCCAAGAGTTCACCAAGAAATAGACACCTTTGGTTGAGAAAAAAATAAGCCGAGTTTGATTTCTATGGGCTCCACCTTCAGTGGCCCCAGTGGCCCCCGGGGCCCCGCCCGCGAGTTCCTCCCTTTCTCGTGTTCCTCGCTTTCGATCCCGGCGGCAAGGTGGCGGTGAGGCCCACGAGGCGCCGGCGAGGGCCCAGCAGGCTGCTCAGCAACTCGCTGATCTTCGGGGCGGGGACCATGTGGCACTCGTCTGCGATGAGCAGGCCCTGAAGCGGGGGAAAAAAAACGGGCGGCGCCAGTGGTGTGTATGCGGCCCTAAGGTGGTGAACATGAAATTTGTCCCTAGGTGCATCCCTTACGTTGCCTTTTAGGAATTTGAAAGTTCGTGGCAGTTGACTACCCAGAATGGTTCCCTGCAAAGTGGCCCCCAAACTGGGTAAAGATGCCTCACATGGATCAGGCTCCATGCTGAAATGCCCTGAGAGCGTGGAACCTAACTGGTCAGCTCAAATGACTGTTCCCAATCCCCACTAAAATAGACTAAGGTGGTGCACCTACCCAACATGGTACCATTGGGTTTGACCCACAGCCATATGTTTTTTTCTTGCATTGCACTGGGGGTCCTTTTGCCTGAAGCCGCGGGTCTTGGCATGTGCTTGCCAAGGAAGCTACCTATCCAGATGGTCACAAGAGTTCACACAAGGTTGTGTCTCAAACATACAGAAACCTCAAAACTGCCGATATATGCTTCTGGTTTCGCTTCCGAGTATGCTTCAAAATCAAACCCTCCCAAAAAACACCCCCCACATCTGAAATACGGAGTGCCCGAAGGAACCTCTGGGCCCGTCCCAAACCCTGGGTCGAAGTCGATTCTGTCTCCGAAAAGGAGAACCAAAGTGAACCTTGCTCCAAATTGCCACACAAAATGAATTATTTGATCAAGGACCCCTGCAACTTGGGGTCCAAAGCTAAATTCGCTGAAACCCCTTGTCTTGGTTGCTCTTGACCCCTCTGCAAAAAGTCCAACTTTTTGTGCAACAGACAATTTGACCTGTTTGCCCAAGTTAAAGTGCAAAGCTCCGTTACCAAATCGCTCAAACTTTCCGGCGCCCAAGTGAGGGAATGACCCCAAGGAAAAACCAAATCCCCTAAGGTTCCTTTAAGGTTCCTCCCCAGGTTCATTTGTAAGACTCCCTGAGCACCACTCTCCCTCCTGCTCGCCCCAGCTTCCCAGCCACTCCTCCCTGCCACTCCTTGCCCCGGCCTTGGGCGCTGCAGTGAAGCGCGCCGCCACGGCCCCGCCGGCCTCGGCGTCCAGGGCGCCGCCCTCGCCGATGCCGTCCTCGTCGAAGGGCAGCGCCTTCGCTGCGCGGCGCCGCTCCTCGGCTTCTCGGGGCTTCGGCGCTTCGGCCCCTCCAGGCGGATTGGGGGGGGGGGGCGGAAGACTTGGTTCCATTTGCAGAGGCCTTCTGGGAGAGACCCATGTGAGTCTGACAACAAGTTGTGGCCAAGGATTGTTTGTTGGATGGTGTTGAAAGGGCAGCTAAAAGGAAACCAGAAGGACACCACCCTTCTGGGATCTCTTTTTGAACATGTTGCACTTTCAGTGGATGCCAGGTTCCATGCCTGTTTTCAGGGCATCTAAACCTGTCCCTTGAACCAGTTGCTCGGAGGGATCGTAGTTTTGAAACGCCCATCCATTGCAAAGAGACGGCAGCTCAGCAATTGCTGTGCTCGGTCTTGGTTGAACAAATGCCCTCTGCAAGCCGAATCCCCTCCCGCCACGGTAGTGCTTGGCGTGGCCATGGCTTGCAAGGCGGGTCAACCAGGTGACAGAGGACACAAAACGAAAACAGGCATCTGGGTGAATTATAATAAGGTGGTTGGGGAGCCACACATAAACCACCATTTGGGGTGAATTCGGTCGTGTGAGGTGGTTATAATTCACCCAGAGCATGGGCGATCAATGCAGGAAAGTGTTGACCGATTCCGTTTCATCGCTGTCCTTGCACCCCTGGGCTCCCATTCTAAGTGGCTGACCGGCTGTTTCATGGCTGTTCCATCCAAGGCTGGAAGCGGGGTTAAACGGTGAGGGACGTCCATGTTCAGCAAGTTTCTGCACAAATCGTGCAGAAACTCCTGACATTACAGTGCGCCCTCAACAAATTGAGGTTGTCCCTTTGGGCCTTCCATATGGAGGGCCGTCTATGGCCGAGGGCAACCAGCCACCCTTCATTTTGCAGGCGCCACGAGGGAGTACCCTAGAGTCTATGTTGCACTCAAATCCCTCCCAAAAAAAAGGCTACGCGTCCACCACAACGGCGGGGGGGGGGGCTCTTTCCATGCGCAAGTGGCATGCCGAGATTCGGACAGCATCCGGTGGTAGGTTACCAGGACCACCCGCGAGCTCCGCAAGATCTCTCCCCCGGCCTTTGTGGCCTCCGCCGTTGGCTACATGGTAATCATTCTGCGGCAAGTGTCAAACAATGAACCAACAAAAAAAAGGAAGCCATGTGTTCTCAAACTCGCGGACCCCCAACAGGCTTCCCTTTCAGACAGGGTACCGGCGCTATTAGGGACCCGCGCGAATTTGCACCCGGCCGCCGGCCGGATCCTTAACAGCGCCGGTACCGCTCAAAGAACCCCCAAGCAAAATCCAAAAAAAACGCCACAAGAAGGCCACGTGTTCTCAAAATCCCGGATCCCCCAGCATGCGTGGGCTGAATTCGGGCTCCCCTTTCCAACTGTGGACCCAGCCTGGCCCACCTCGCAACTCTTGGTGGCCCAGTTCTCAGCCAGCTCCCGGGCCCACTGCCGGATTCCTGGGGCCCCGGTTGAACCATTTAATGCACCCAAGGGTTAAACATGGATGCAATCCTAGAGTTCTCTTTAAACAAGTTGAAGCATCTTCCTTTGGTGACCCCGAAAAAAGAAACAAGGCCGGGTGACTTTAAGTCAGGAGGGTGACTTAAAAACACCTCTTTTCAACAAGTGTCAGCCACCTCCTTTGGGTTCCCCCCCTCCCCCTCCAAAAAAAAACCAAACAAACACCTAGGATCGGTTCCTTTTGGTGCCCCACCCCCCAAACAAAAAACAAACAAACAAACAAACAGGACAGTGACTTAAACACCGATGTTAAACAACAACCACCCCGCGCCGGGCGGAGGTGCGCCATTTTCCCCACCCCCGCCTTCGCGGCGCAGGCAGAGCACCACCACGCAGCCGCCCGCATGGGACTCCAAGAAGCTCCAGGCCAAGGCGGCGCCCACCCGCGTCTTCCCCGCGCCGCAGGGCAGCACCACGCAGCAGTTCTCAGGCGACGCCTCACGCTCCAGAGGTCTCTGGGGATTGCGCTTTTCTCCGTCTTTTTTCCCCTTTTTTTTTGGGGGGGGGGAGGGGTTGAGGGAGCTGGGGATTTTTGCGACTTTGTTTCGATGGTTTTCGTTTTTTCAGGGAGCTCCCTCCCAACAGTTGGAACCTGAGGTTTGGGGAAATTAGTCCTGGTTTGGACCATGTTCTGTTTAAAGGGACCCCACACCGCCAATTGAGGGAAATCTGATTTAGCTTCTGCAGTGGGAGGGAGTTGGGGGAGGGGGGAGGGGCGGGTGGTCGCCATTTTGATTTCCCAGTCTTCCCCACAAGGACAATGACACTATAAATGAAAATGTGCGTGTCTAAAGAAATTGCCAGATGATTTGCTTCCAAGCGTTCCCCGGAGGGCCCTCACATGACATGCTCTCACATCGAAATCACCATGCAGCCAAAGTTGGGGCAGTTGATCAATGCTTAGCTCTTTCACCCTGGTGTCGGCATTGAGGTCTTCGCAGCTACCTGTCTTTTTTGTCTTTCTCAGATATCGTTGGAGGCTTGACAAGTGTCATAGGATTTTGGCAAGTATTGCCAGACATCGGACTCTTGAACAACCCAGAAACAAGCTGCAGGGAGACCGCGCTGCTCGAAGGTCACCAGAGATCCGAGTCCCGTCCCCCTGGCTGGACACTTAGGATGTGCAACGCGCAAAGAGCAACTTCCAAGGGCCAAGCGATGCCAAGCGCAAAAGAACACGACCAGGAAATTCTGGCCCAAGGAAATTCATGCCAGCATACCCCCTCCCGTAGCCGTCGCCTTGCTGACAGCATCCACGGCTGACAGCTGGTACGGCCGCAAGGACTCCATCTTGGTAGGGGCTTCTAGGTCCAGCTCCCCATCGATCGCCTCCTCTTGCAACTTGGTGCTGGGAAGCTCGTTGCTTTCGGGCTCGTCCCTCTCGCCTTCTTCACGCCAACAGGCCCATGCCGACCTCTCCGCCTCCGGGACCTCCTCTTCACCGAAGTCCTTCAGCTGCTGCTCGGTGGCAGTCAGCGCCTCAGCTGTTCCAAGAATGAGACTCCACCGAAATGATGATGGCATGGCACCGCAGCAATTAGCACGCCAACTATGATCCCTGCCCGGCCACCCTGATTGAACTGTGGAGCAAGCGATGCCATTCAAAAATGGCGTGCTTAAACAGCACATAATTCTACGGACAGCCTGGTCCTTTGAACAATGCACTGGCATATTGACTGCCTCGCGCAACCCTGTCCTCGACCGCATCTACCAAGCGTGCTTTCTCCTCTAGCTTGACCACTTTTCCCTCCGTTTCATTTCACGCTCCGCTTTGTCTGTCGCTTTCAGTTTCCGCACAATGTTGCGCACCACACTTGGCACCTTGTTTGGCACCGCTTATCCTCTATACCTTAAAAGCACGCCGGACCTTTTTCGACCACTACACCGTCTCATTCGGCGGTGCCTTGCGCTTTGCTGCCAGAGCACCACGTGCTTTCGAAGCTTCCCCGTCCTCAATGCATACCACAGGCCCACATTTTGCCTGGCCACAGAACAAAGGCTGCGGATCGCTGAGGTGGGGATGTGCATCACCACTGCGCAGTTGGACAAGCTGTCGGCCAGCCTGTGCATGAAGCATGCTGGTAAGCAAAGCGAACATCTCATCTTTACGCTAACGGGTGGCTGCGGTCCATTCAACGACGTAGAAGTTGGCAGACAGGTTGTGTGATTTCTGACAAAAGACGGTGCTGGGGATGAAATCAGCAAACATAAACTCAACGATCAAGCCGCGGCTTTGTGCCTTTGGTGGCGCTCTTGGGCCAGGCGGGTAACTGGTAACAGGCCCACCTGGACGCCCCAAAGCCTTGAAACCTCCCCGATTCTTGCAAGCGATCTGGCTGCCGCAACACCGATCTGTGCATGTTACAGTAAATTAAAGGGCTCTGGCCAGCAGCAAATACACAAGGACTTTAACAGGACAGCACGGGTTAGCCCCTGCTCCTCCCTCAGTTTCAAGGCACGCGTGACCAACTTTTCCCTTGTAAGGGTCGGTGATAGCAGCAGGCAGAGTTAGGCAGCAGCAGGTGACAGCTGCTCGAACAGGTGTTTCCGCACCTTTTCAGGTCAACGTACCTATCAAACAAAACACACATCATGGGATTAAAAAGAAGGCAGATCTTTTGCTCAAGCATGTGAAGACATGACAGGCGCCATGTTCTGGCAAATCAGTTGTCAAGATATGATAGTTTGCTTCCTCCATCCAGGCCTCTGCTTCTCATGTTCCCAAATGTCAGTTTCTGCATGCCGAATGCATGTGAGCCCAAGGACATCCTCTGATCCCCACCGTGTTGCGCTCTGAAGTGGGCATGAGTCTCCCATGAGGAAAGACGCAACCACAACACGCCTTTTGTTTGGAACCGGGTTGCAACTTTGGCCAAGGCATCAATGAAATTCAGCAACCCTCCCCCCATTCAGACAGGTCACCCTGAGTCTTTCCCACCACCCCTTGGCAAGGGATGAACTAAGACAACGTAACATTTTGGCTCCGACTCTGCATTCTTGGGCGGACCGTCACACTCACAATGATTCAGGCGGATAGAAATCCGAGCCTCACGGGAGCTGTGCTGCCTCGATCTGCCCACTGCAAAGCTTCTCGCACCTATGAGCAGGGCAGCAAAAAGGAAACACCCAGACACACCACTGAACCATTCAGCTGCTCATGAACACCATTTGTCAGCCCAAGCCGCGTTGCAGCGGAGCGCGTGGGTTGCACGGCGGCGAATGGGGCCAGAATCCAACTGCATGGCGAGCCTGGGCGACAACTGCAACAACGCATGGCTCTCCAAGAAATTTTGATGTGCAGCCGCGAGGTCCACAAATACAAGCACGCGAATCAGTTCATCACTGCAGCCAGCGGGCCCAAGAGGCCAAATAGGGATGTGCCCTTGCAAGCTGATCGCACACTCTGGGAGCCCCCCTTCCCCTCGCTCCCCATGCGTGCGAATAGGCACGCGCCCTTAAAAATCAGGCAGCTGAGTCACACTCAAAACCTGGCATCACAGGGGTGGACCCAAAACGCATGGCAATACATCAAAAGTTTGAAAGGGTTTCTCACTGCACCTATTTGATTCTTTGTGCTTGGGACTGCCCCTCACGTATCAAGGGGTCCCCCCTATGTCTTTTTCATTTTTGCTTTTGGTTTAAACAGTTTTGAGGTACCAGGCATGTTTTCCTGGCTCAGCTTGCCCCGCCCCCACACCGACCGACCGATTTCAGCCCCGGTGCGTGGCTGTGGCCTGCTCAGGGCTTGGCCAGTCGCAGCCGCGGAGAACCGCCTCAGAGGAAACGCAAAACGGTGGGAGTGGCTCAATATAGAGGGCACCCCCCAAACTGCTGGAAAAAAACTGCACAAAGTAAGGGGGCACCTTGCAAAGGTGAACAAAACGGCACAAAGTAAGGCCCCCACCTTTCGCAGGAAGTTCCCCCAAAAACATGCCCCAAGTCCTGAACAACACGCCCACCTCAGAATGCCATCTTTGGACCTTTTCATTCGTGATATTGCCAAGGAAGTGTCCAGTTGTTGAATGCTACTGCTTGACTGTTGCTGAGCAGAGCTGCGCCTTTTGTGGCTTTGTCCCCAGCCATATTCAAAGAGGGTCTGACAAATTTGGGTTCCAGGGGTTGGGCAAAACTTGCTTGGCTAGGCCCTAGCGAAATGGCATGTTGGCAAGAAACCCAAGGCTTCTCCTCAAGCCCGCGGGCTTTTGGGGTTGGTAGGGATGGTCTTGAACCTCCTACCCCGCTACAAATCAACGTGGAATCCCAAAAGCCCATCATTTCTAGAGAGGACACTCCTTTGGGCCCCGCAGCCCCCCCCCAAAACGGGTTCCTTCCCTATATTGGCAGGGGAGGAGTGTGGGCGTTTTTGTCAACAGCCTTAGACCTGTCCAGCACCCCCCTAGCCCCCACGACCCCCGGTGCCTCGGCGGCTTCTGCCTGGCGCTTCGCCTTGGCCTTGGCCTTCCCCGCGGCGAAGATGCCGCAGGCCCACTCCTGGACCTCTGAGAGCCTGAGCCGAAGCCAGCCCTTTACTAGGTCCTCCAGTAAAGAGGTTAGAATAAGGGCACCCGATTTTTTTCTGTAGTCTATTTCAGTAGGGGAACCCTCCCCCCAAAAAGGGTAAAAGGGCGGGGGACCTAGTTTAGGTCTTGGACTCACACCGCTGTTTGTTACCGCCCCGACCCCCTAAAATGGCGACGAAGTCCATGGCTTTCTGGGTCAAAGATGGGTACCGGATACAAAAATAGCCTACCCTCATATGTATGAAATAATATTTAATAGTAGAGGGGACACTGTTGTTTCAGCTAGGTTTGGAGGGGACCCCAAATATGTTGTTGGGCCTATGGACCACCGGGTATCAATTGAGGCCTGAAGAAATATTACCCCATCCCCTTCTGCCTTGTTCTGGACCTTCGAACGTACCTGAAATGTCTGCCTCCCCTGTCAATCGGCTGGTTTCTGGAATTAGTACCTCTTTTCTGGGCTTGTCCTCTTTTTTGGACCTCGAGCGGTTTTTGGAGGCATGCGGGCTGTCAATTCCTAATATGACCCACTCAAGCAGAAATTGTGTGCAAAAACGGTACAACGGCCGGCAAAACGAGCGCAAAAACCCGCAAACAAGCGCAAAATTGAAACGTGCTTGTTTGAATACAAACCTCGGGCACTTGTTCATTGCTCGGGCAGACATTGAAGAATCGGGCACAAGCTGTAAGTTTGAGCTGGGAAAAAAGGCGAGCAAACAAAGAAGTATCACTGGAAGGTCCAGGCCATTTGCCGCTGACCCCTTTGCAGCCCTTCAGACTCAGACGGGTTCAAGGATATCTTCAAAGACTTGCTGTTCTCATTAGGGTCTGGGGAAAGACACATTTAAACCATCCCCCATGGATTCCTGTAAGGGACTCCCTAGATTCATTCCCAAAGCCCGGAAGGTCATTCCCTACCTATCGCACCAGCAAGAACATGGTTTCGGTCCGGCAGCCCGCTCAGCTGCCCGATCCCCGGCCAGCTGCTGAGTGAACTTGCCTGGAATAACCAAAGAGATTCCACGTCAATCCACCTACCATCCACCAGCACCTGCGGCAAAAACATGCGATCAAAGACATGAATGAAACGACACAAATGGCCTTTGCATTTCCTTATTGGAGAAGAGACCTGAGGCCCGAGCCTTTCCTGCTCTTCTGTAGCCAGCGGCATCAGTTCGGAGGCTCTAAGCCGACGCGCGCGGTGTTGCTCATGTCTTTTGACACGCGCGTCTCAAGTTGGACTAGCACGCGATTCCGACCATGAAAAAGCAAGCACCGGCAAGGTCACGGCTTGCTGTGATTTAGACATGTGCCTACTTCAGCCGTGGCAATGAAGCAACGTGGTGTCATGAGTTGCCTTAAGATCCCGCCATATCTCGCATCTGGTCGACTTTGGGCCAATGCCAGAACGTGCTTGGATGGTTTGCCGTTGACGGGTTCTAGCCATGATTTCCAGCGCATGGGTAGAGGTACAGGGCTTTGATCATCAAGTGAGGCCATCCCCTGAATGGGAAGCCCCCCCCTCCCCAAGGCTTCGAAGGCTTCTAGGGGCCGAATGTCTCTGCTTGGGAAAAAGCCCTTTGCAAGATGCATATCAAAAGCAAACCTCCTAGCTTGGATAGGCTTGCCCTACCACTTGAGTCTAGTTCTCTTCCATCATGACCTCACCGCGCTGTCCTGTGTGCATGCTCTGCGGGCAGCTGAGGCGTCATGCTGCGTGGTCAACCGCAAAGTAACCGTCACATAGTTCTCGATGCTGCTCACCTAGCAAGCCGGCTCAGAGCGAACACCTTATTCTCAGCCTGCAAGCCCAATCTCTCTGCTGAACAAGGAAAATCCAGCCGTCCTGTTCTTCTCAGGTAGGTATGCCCTGCATCCCCAATACTATAGTGAGCCGACTCGTATTTCTGGCGAAGTCCGCAATCTGTCTGATACCTTGGACATGTCCGCTTGGGTGCAGAAGTACTCCGAGATGATCTTCGTTTATTTTTGGGAATGCTTGTTCCGTCATCTGGCTTTCCACTTCCTGGTAAATCTGGTCACCCAAAGTTCGACAAATGTCTGAGCTATGTAACCCTATGTTGGACAACCCATGGCTGAGGGTGGGCGGGGTTGCTTTCAGGCTGGTGTCAGGTCGAGCTGGGGTGGATATAAGGTTGCGGGAGCCCATTATGGCCCAGTAGGGCCTGTGTTTGGTTGACGCTTCACGTCAGCGGGGCTGGGGATATCCAGAGCGGGCTGAGTACAGCGTTGCGGGTTGGGACAAGGAATGGTGCAACGATGGGGGCAAGTGAGGTTGTGCTAAGGTGTGCGTTGGACTCAAGTTTTTTCCTGATGCGGGATTGCCGGCAAGTTTGGAATGAATCACGCATCAATTGAGGGCTTAAACCGGGATTGAGGGTGAGTGAGGGCAGGTTGAAGGGCCTGCTTGGCCAGAAGCCAAATCATCGTGGACCAAGAGGTGGAAATCCATCGTGACATTTTAACATCTCACTTGCCCGGCAAGACAACGAATTGAAAGGGGCTCAGCTTTTCGAACCAGGCGGGTGGCATGTAAGACTCCTCCAACCATCTCCACGAGCAACAATCCTCACCTAGTATTCTACTTCCGTAAGCCCTCCTATCTCCCCCAATGGTTTGGACCTATGCGCTTTGTTGCTGTTGACCCCTCTGCAAAACGAATTTAACTTTTTGTGGGTTTAGTGGAAAACCCAACTTGATTGCCCAAACAGTTAAAGTCTAGAGATCCAACCCAATAGCAGACAAGTGCAGACGCCGCAGGTTCCAAACAGTCGACGCCGCCCGCCTTGGTGTTGGATGGCACAAGCGAGTCCACGGAGACGATGCCGATCAGGGACACGCCCGGCCTCAAAGGGAAGATAGGTGGTGGACACAGTGTTCCATTTTTTTTGAATATGTATGTACACACACATATGTATATATATATATAATTTTATGTATGCACATATATTTAGATACATAGCTATTCTGGGGTGAACCTGCCCCAGCGCCCCCGGCCCTGCAGCAGCAGGAAGGGTAAAGCGACAGGCGTAGCATCTGTATGCGTATAGGAGATTACCATTAGTATAATACAAATAGACATGTCCGTGGCATCAAGTCCAAATAAAGAGATGTTTATAGTCTGCTGAAGGTCGTGGAAACTTTTCCGCGGCGTGCTCAAAGGGATTCACATTCGTGATGTGAGAGTCAAGCCACAAGTTCAAAACTTGAGACGATTCAGGAACACTTGTGGCAAGGTGGGGAGGGGACATATGTTTTTTCGTTATAAGAATAAGTGTCGCGGTTTTCGAACGAAAGTGTTCAAAGCAATTCGACGGCATCAAACTTCTTGTCCAAACAAACTTCGAAATTGCAAATTTCAAGCCGACATGACGCAGCTTTTGACTGTCTTTGCCTTTGTTGACTAAAGCGGGCGACACCCAGCTTCACCAGTGCCTTAATCACGAAAGCAAATTTCCGCACGCTGAAAGTAGACGTTGCTCTGACCGGTACGCTACAGTGGTCGACGCCCCCGGCATCACCAGTGTTGCAGCAAAGAAAACGGTTTTCCCCTTGAGGTGGTCTGCAAATTGAAGTGGCCAACACTCGACGCCCCCAGCATCACCAGCGCTTTAGCAAAGAAACCGATTGGTGGATGTTGCTCAGGTCCGTAGACTCAAGTCCCCAAAGCCGGTTGGGGGTGGACACTTGCCACCCACCACATTTTGGTGGAGACTGAGGCTGGGTATTTCGCCTGGCCATCTCCGAGATAGCATCCGTACCCTCGTTCAGGTGTTGGTGGACGGCACACTTGGCTCCTTCTCCTTTCGTTTTGTGAGTTTCTCTCTGGCTCTGGAGTACCTCAGATGTAAAAGATAACATCGCGGCATCCCCTTCCCTACCTGGAAAAAAAAACGAAAAACGCTGAGTTAAGCCCCACCACGCCACACTTTTTCACTTCCATCCACAAGGGGGAAGTGTAGGCGCAACATTGGGAACTCTGTTCCCCATACACTACTTACCAAGGTGGGAATATTGCAGTTCCTGATCGGAGCCAGGCCCTGTCGGCCTGAGCTGGACCAAATAACGAACCGTTTTTGAAACCCGTTGGCCTCCTCACAAGAGCTGAAGCTTGACGTGCGGCAAGAGGTGAATCAGAAACGGCCACCAACGACCGACAATGACACATCAGACACAAGAAAGGGACTGCTTGAATGGGCGATCTGCCATACCCCTGACTCTTCCCATTCAGATCCCTGGCCAATTCTGTGTCACAACTGCCTAATTAACCCCTGCGGATTCCGAGCAATCTCTGGTCTCAGGGGACCGGCACTTGCGGCTTCTCGTCCAAGACGGTGTTTTCACCTGGAAGCAAAGGGTCAGCTTCCCCCTTGGCGGTTTCAGTTCAGTTGGTTTGGAGTTGGGAGGGGCCAGCTCCAGTTTCAACGAGGACCAGGCATTCAAACCCCGAGTCCGTCAATCCGGTTACCTCAAAGAAGAAAGCTTAAAGGCTGGCAACAGCCGAGTAAAACAGCCCGGCAGTCTTGCACTGCTGTCTCCGAACTGGGAAATCAACGTCTGGGACGACCAGGATTCCACCCCAGCAAAGCTTGAACTTGGCAGAGCAAGTGGCTATGGCCAACTTCACGCGTCCTTTCGACTTCCTGCCTTCCTGCCTTTGCACTCTCAATCTCCTGTCCGGATGTGTCTCTGAGGCCCGGTCTGTCAGAATTTCTCGTCATGAAGTGCCACCTTGGCTCAGGGAAATTGGGCAGAAGTCTTGAAATAGGATCCAACCTCCTTCCCCAACTCCTCTTCCCCTGTTCCAAGAAAGCGAAACAGCTCGACAGCCCGCAAAAAGCCGCTTCAGCATTTGGAGGGGACGGATCGTCTGGCTAGGCCGCCGGGCGCATTCACCGTGGAGTTCATCGGTGGGTTGCGGGCGTTGTAGCCTGGCGTGTAGGCCGGCTGCTGGAAGGTTTGCCCTTCCAACTGGAAACAGCAGGGGGTTAAACAAATCACTGCCTCGGTGGGTGGACACTACAAGTCTGCTCTTGTTGTTTAATTACCAGGGAATGGCCAGCCAAAAGGCATGAAGTCCAAACACTTGGGGCAGTGATCCAAGAAATCCATAAAACCTATTTGTCCCCCTGGCGCGCCATGACCAGCAAAGGGCCAAACATCCCGAACCAAAGGGGAGGGTCAGATGCGGATAACTTAAGTCCCTTATGCTTCGCATTTGCAACAAAACACTTGCACGGCACAAGCCGCAAGCCTGGGAAAGCTATTTGCCTGTGGATAACTGAGCAATCACCGTTCTAAAGCCTGCCATCCAAAGACAGGAAGTCTTGCGCGGGTTCCAGGAACGCGCCGTTTGTGTTCTTTGTTTGCAAACAAGAAGAACTTGCGTCTTCCACTTAACCCACAAACAACCAGGACATGCACCTCCTAGCCTCCTGATCGGGCATTGGAAGAAACACGCGGACAAGGGAGATGGTCCCATGTGTTCTCCAAAGTTGGATCGTACCATGCGGTTTCACATGGACTCCAAAAAGATCCCAAAACCTCCTCATTTTGAGGATGCTACTTTTGGGTGATCCCTTTTGCAGAAACAAAGGCTTCCATGAAACCATTTGCAGGACGGGTACTCACGACTTCTCAGTTCACATCACTCCGGCCTTGGATCAGGAAGCGGAAGACGCGGCGCGAGGGCACGTAGACCATGGGCGCAATGTAGAGGTCCAGGGTGCTCCCCTTTGGGAGTTGCGAAAATGGGCACCCTGGAGTTTTTGAGGTTTGAAGGAATCAATAACACATTTGTGTCAAATCTCATGACAACTTCTAGGGGAATGACCTTGAAGGTAGCTTGGTGGTCGCCTGCGAAACTCGCACAGTGACCCTAGAAGAAACAGAATTGGACCCCGACACTGTTGAGATTTTATGCGGAGCCGGTCCCAAGCCACCAAACACAACGGGAAAAGGGGTGGACTTTACGAAGTATTCGGACTGGGGCAGCTTCACGGCCTCACATGAAGGGTTCACAGACTAGGCGGCAAGGATGTGTCTCCCATTGGGGCCTTGCTTTGAGGGTAGGCGTTTTTGTTTAGAAGCGACGCCTAAAGGACATCGCCTGGTTTTGAGAAAAACACGCCTGTCATTTCGTGGCATTGGTGCTGGGTGAAACCAGGGCACAACCTTAGGGAACACAACAAGTTCTGGACCAAAGGCCAAGCGCGCGCTCGGCGCACCTGGCTCTGGCAAGAGATCAGGTCAGACAAACGTCCTCCTTCATCACACTTCGCCCTGGCCGCCGCTCGACTCGGGTGCCGCAAATGGGATCACAAGGTGAATGGTCGGCCCACGGAAAGGCAACGGAAAGCAGCAAACCTAAGGCGGCTCATGTGCCAACTTGCATTTGTGAACTACTGGCATTTCTTAATTTGCCAACACCATCCTGAAAGGCTGATGCGGCTCGCTTCAGAAACCACGTCATGTCAATTGCAATACCTCCTAGATCAAGCAAACAAGACATAAGTCGGGACATACGACATTCGACTTCATCGCTCAATCAGGTCACTGGAAGATGACATGGGCATACAATTCACCCCCCTGGGTCTTTCCGGAACGACGCGCAACGACTGTTGCTTCGAGGCTTTGCGTCCCAAGGTCCAGGGTTAACCTGTCCTTGGTACCTCTTTGAACTTCCTGGCGCTCAGGGAATGAGAAATGGAATGTCCCCCCATATTAAAAAAAAATGCTGGTTTCCTAGACGCTTCCCGACGGTTCATTTTCCATGCCTCCTTCCCTGCTGGCACCAAGTAACCCGCTGCCTACATTCGAGCAGGTCGCGCCCGGGCGCCCGGGCCTCAGGTCCAAGCAGATGGTGCGGTTGCCCACCCGCGCGGTCTCTTGCGCGATGGAGAGCACCATGCCTCGGGGAGCTGCCACTCGGGCGGCGTCTTTGGGACCATTAGGGACAAGTTGGCACCTCCAAAGAGAAACCACTTGCACCTTCTTTTAATTTGTTTTGCTGCGGGAAGGGGGTGGGGGTGGGGTTGGGGTGGGGGAAGCGTACAGATTTGCTTTGCTGCCAGGGGTGGGTGGGTGGGGTGGGGGTGGGGTGGGGGAAGCGCCCGCACATTTTCTCCAATTCGCTAGTTTCAAGTTCTGAAAAAATATGAGTGTCCAGCCCAAAGTGATCAGCTCATCCAGCTCGTTCATGATCACGCAGGGCTCGAACTCCAAGGAGCATGCCCTGAGCACTCCGCTTCTTCGCTGGGGCTGAGACATGTTGACTAGGTCCTCCAGTAGAGAGCTTAGGATAAGGGCACCCTTTCTCTTAGGATAAGGTCACCCGATTTTTTCTCTTCCTCTAGTCTGTTTTAGTAGGGGAACCCTCCCCCCAAAAAGGGGAGAGAAGGGCGCCCCGGAGTGCGAATTAGACAAACCCTCTCACACTTCCGTGCCTCCCTGAACCCAAAATGCAAGGGTTTGGCTTGATGTCAGGCAACGGCTTGTGAAACTAGGATGGTGCTGGCAAACTCCACGAGTCAAACCCAAATCTGGTCTGAGAAGTGGTGAAACCCATCTGTTTTCCACCCAAAGGCACCCGAAACGTGGCAAGCCATGCCCCAGGCATTCGTTCCGCCCTCAGCTGGGGCTCCCGGGCCAGTTGTCGGGTCTCAGGATGTGGCAGGTCGTCACCTTCGAATGGACCGAGGATCTTCCACGCGCCGGGTGTAACACGTGCGGCAAAAAAGGAATGGACATCATCATCCGTCTCCCCGTGGTTTCCTTTAGAAGAACGTTCACCTGCAAAGTATGGGCCATCTAGCACCCACATTTTGAAGAGGTTTGGAAGGGTTCAGCGCTGCTGACAACCGGGTTGCCCGATTGCCTAGATGCAAGGCAGGTGACAATGCTGATCTCCCAAATGTCAACGCTGGGCAAAGCGTTGAGAAAGCTCCGCCAGAAGCGGGGGCCGCTAACTTTTCCGAAAGCAAGTTGCTTGATCTTCAAACCACTCATGCCATTATGAGCCTTTCGGCCATCACATAGCAGTTTCTCGCGGAATTTGCCCACCGGCACGAGTCCGGCCTTATCTGCTGGAGGACGCTCCTGACGGTGCAGAGCCCTCGAACCAGCCAGCCAGCCAACCAAGCGAAGCCAAAACACTCCCCAGGACTACTTGGTCAACCTTCAACCCTAAACCCAGCACGTTAATCTCTTCTTAATTCTTTGTTCCTCATTTCAGTCAAGGGCAAAGATGTGACTAGGATTTTACCTTATCAGACCCCACCAGTCGCAATGCGCCAGTCCTGACCGGCTCCCTGCGGGGAGGGCTCGGACACCAGGGGATCGTAGCCTTGGTTTCCAAAACTGAGCGGCTTGAGCTCCGCTGTCCGGGAGTCCCGCAAAAAAAGCGAGTTTACTCGGGACATGCAAGTCTTAAGTCGCGAGCTGTTGTTTGTTGCGTGTTGTTGGGAGTGTTCGCTTCTTTGGGCTGGCGGCTGCACCGGTAAAAGCAAATGGCTGTGGTCTCGGCGACCTTCTCATTATTTGTTCAAGGGGTTCATCAGTTTGTTCCTCAAGAAATGTCGGACCGGCCGGTGAACCAGCGAACCAAAACGCTACCCTACTCTGTAGAAGAAGCTTACTCTACTCTGTAGAAGAAGCACGTCTCAGCTGTGTTGCCCACCGGTTTCGCATTCGTCCACCCCTCTTTCCCTCTATTGGCCTAAGAATGCTGTACTCTTTCTGGGCATGCCATGGTTGACTCCCCGCCGTTGGTGTGGCCCTCCATATCCCCAATGGACCGTGCGGCTGTGTTGGGCGACGTGACGAGTCCGGTCGCCGGGCTCCGGGCGGGTTGCTGCAGTCTCGATGACTGGGCCAAAGTAGTAGTCCTGCCGGGGGGCTATACCAAAATTGGGCCCCCGATTTCCCACTGTTGGATGGATCTGATGTTTTACACACAGGAATGAAATGGCTGATGAATAGGTCGCTGCCCGCAAAAAGTGAAGGTTTCCCTGTAAAAGGGGGAGCCTTTGTATTATAGGGGTTGGTTGGCTCTTGGCCAGCGGTCCCAAAAAATGTGCGTCGCAAGCGACCATCTGAATATTGCAGTCGGGCTTCGATGGGCAGGGCGCCTCCCATTTCAGCCCCGGCAGACCCAAAAACCCAGTCCTGGGGCGCGATGATCCGAATGGAGCCGCCCGAGGGTACCTTGCCGAATGCGGCTTCGATTCCGAATGCCCCCGCGACTTCCATGAAGCCCCGTTAGCAAACACCAGTCGAAGGTGCGACAGCTCAGCCTGCATTGCGCTTGTATGCGCTTGCAATGGCCACCCCTATCAGCAAACAACGATCTGCATTCGTCCTTTGGCAGAAGGCGGACCGCACGGGACTCATGCCTTGACGGGTTGCGTGAGCTTCCTGCAATTTCCGAGCTTCCTGCAAAATTTGGTCGATGACCCAGTGGGATCCATGGCCCTTTGCAAACGGCATTGCAATTTTTGGACTGTTCTGATTTCGCGCCTTCCCGATCCCGCTTCAGGCCCCGAAATTCTTCTTGGGCTGTTCGTTGGGCGCCCGCCGACCCGCCCCAGCCTCTGTGACGGTTTGCAGCGTGACGGTGAAGTTTGTGTACCTCAGAATGCCCTTCCCAAGCCCCAACAATCCTGGTGCATTTTCAGGAACAACCCAAAGTGCCCACCCAATTGCTTGGAGTGCCCGGTTTTTGATTTGAATTGATATAGGAATCCAATACATCGGTGTCTTCCATATATAGGCAGGTTGCTCCCCTAAGAATGCCGGCCTGGTGGCTTATCACTTATTCCTACTGTGTTTGGTGGCCCTTTTGGTGCAAGAGCTTACGTTTACCCAGAAACGCATGACCCCTGGCTGAGCAATCAGCAGGGTGCTGTCCTTCACAATTGAGAGAGGCTTCCCCTGTTAGTCCGGCGTCGCACTGGGGTCAACATGACCTGAACTATGGTCAAACACTTGAAGTGACCTGTTCACGGCGCAACAAGCCACACCCCAAACAAAAGTGAAACTGCCTACGTCACGTGCTGCAATCTCACCGCTTGCCAGGCCGAGATTCCAAGCTCTGCTTCTGATTTGACCGCCCGGAACTTAGACCCCACATTGGCCAAGGACTAAGCACACAATCCACGCATCCACGCGTGGTTGGACGGGACACCGTCAGGTCTTGCCCGGCCGCTGGGGCCACGGCAGTCCGTAGCCAGGATTGGCCGTTTGCACAGACGTGAGCGTAAGCTCCGGGTAGATCACCCAGCCGGGGGCCGTCCACACCTGGCCAAACATGGCCAATCGGGGGGTAAGCATCTCAGCATTGAGTCAGCTGTCCCGGTGTTTGCGGGAAAGTTTCTGAAGCAACCAAGTGCTGGGGGGGGGGAGAGAGGGGGAGAGGGGGGGAGAGGGGGGCGGAGAGGGGGGAGGAGAATCTCCGAGCGAACCCGTGCCCACCTCCTTCCCCAAGGCCGAGTTGGTCATCGCCTGGAAGGCACGTCAGGCACGGCCAGTCTGCCGGTGGGGGGGGGGGAGATTTTCCCGACCGAAACGGGGCCTCGATCTGGAAGAGGTTGAGCAACGGAGTGCTCTCCGCGTTGGTGGCGTTCATGATGAAGAATTCGAAGACCGGTCCTGCACGACTCGTGTTCCCACGAGAGGTGCAGACTTCGAGAAGTCACATTTGAGCTTGGACCCCTCACTGGCCTGCGTGGACATCTTGAACCACACATATGAGTCCGGTTGAGGGCATTCCCCTCAGAATGCATGGCCAGTTCGAAAGGCTGTCTATAAGATCGCAGCGAGTCCAGATAGCCACCGAACACGGCTCGGCTGAACACATTTTGAACCGCCTGGTCTGAGCCTGGATGCCAGAGAAAAAAAAAGAGGCTTGCCAGTGCTTGCCAGTGGGTAACGCCCAAGTCCTGCGATCAAAGGCCGGCCGCCGAGAATTGGCTCTTCGTTCCGCAGCATCAGCCTGCGGAGGTCGGCCGTCGTTCCATCGTTCCGTCGTTCCACCGCCCCGTCGCTCGGGAACTTGCCAGTGCTACACACTGCCCATCCGAGGAACTTTGATCGAACATGGACCCTGGAAAAGCCCGGAAGCTCAACAGGTCACCTTCGGGCAAGCGGGGCAGGCTGGCGGGTGATTGTCAGCTACCCCATTGCAAGAGCAACTTCGCTGATGTCATTCTTGTAGGTTGTGAGACCATACATGTGCCCTAGAAAATGTACAGAAGATTGCGTGACTGCCAATGGGAGAGTTCTTGGAAGCCTGCAGGGAAGGTGGTGAATGCCGGTGCATCTTGAGGGATTGAAGTGCAAGCCCTTGGGAGTGCTCTTTTGTAGTGTGATCCCGGCTTCTTGGTGGCCATGTTCTCCCCTGTCAAGGAGCCTTTTGGTGGCTGGCGAACCTCTGAGGCCCACCCCCACTGCACTGCCGGCTGGGGCTCACACTCGGTGGAGCTCACCACTTGGCAAGAGACCCACTCCGGCAATCGAGTCACCTCAGGAACTTGAGCAAGCTAAGCACCGGTTTCAATCCAACCATTCGCCAGGCATAACTCCACTTCCGTAAGCCTTTTCCAAAAGCTTCAGTTGGTCATGGGGTGGGGGGCTGATTCCCAGGATCTTGCCTCAAAATGCACCCCCCCCCCCCAAAAAAAAAAAAAACCTCAAAAAACAGAAAACACGCGCCGACGACCCCAGAAACCGGGCGGCGTTCGCTCAGTTCCAGGCCCCGGAAATCAGAGGCGTGGGGAACTGGAGGCTGAGCAGCACGGGGTCCTGACCACCCGAAAAGAAATGGACACCGGTTGTCACATGCCGAGGGGTCAACTTCCCGGGCCAAGAAATGGGGGTTGATCCATATTCCATCTAAGGCCCCCAAGTGACCATGGGAAACTTTTCTCGTCATGTGGGGAATATCGTATCATTTTCCCCAATGGTCATCCCATGTAAAGGTCTTTTGAAGGAAAAGCCACCGTCTCTTTCATACCAAAATTGTCGTGATTCTCATGACACCACCTTCAAGTGGCAATCAAAAATGCCCATTCCCATGACTAGCAGTCCTAGATGGCGCTGCTACATGATGAGAACCATACTGAAACATTCAAACTGACTTACAATGGCAATAGTGGCAGCTATGCTAGCAATTTCAGAGGTCGAAGTACCCCATCACCATCACGTTGCCCTCATTTGCCAACACCAGCCATTGCTGACGTCAAGATCTCTGACAGCCCCCGCGCGCCGTGTTGATACAGGCTCCATTCAGGCCGCCGAAGGTAGTGCCAGCAGGGGGATAAATGTGGACCGTCTGCCTCAGGTCGTGCACAGTCAGGCGCCACTTTTCCTGGAACCATCCCAATAAAACCTCCAGAAATTATTGAGTTCCCCACACCACTTCCAGAGGTCGCTGACACATATGCGACGGAGATATCAAGAATGGATTGCTGCGGTTCACCGGTTGCCCCATGTCTTCGCTGCGGAGTTGTTCTTGGTAGGGATCATGGGGAATGACCCTGTGCCAAAAACACTGTTGGGTTCCCGGCCTGCTTAAACAGGTTTGGCCAACCACGGCGGAGGTCAAAACAGGTCTTAAGGGTCAAACCCAATCCCCAATTCAAGAAACTCGTTAGAAACGCAGGCTTTTCTGGCACAGACCGGCTCCAACTAGGGAGCTGGCTGTGGCGGCAGCGACTGGTCCTTGGCAAAGCTCAGGTTTTTGGGTGACCGTGAGAAACCGACACGCAAAGGCAGAGGTGAGTCACAATCAAATCCCGGTACAAACAAATGGTGAACCCAGAACCATGTAAAGAATTAGATCCTTCTGGGACTGTCCCTTACTAACCGGATCATCTACCCGGGTTTTGAGCAAGTGGCTCAGGTGAGCCAATTGACGCCCTGCATGAGGCGCAGGGGCGCCGGTACTACCCTGGGGCTGCTGCTGTGCGGAAGTGGATGCGGTAGGTGGTAGAGGCCAAGCCAACCTCCGCACTTCCGTTGAACATGGGGGGAGGTCCCAAACACGTAACCCTTGGTGGGACCACAAATAAATACAAGATTGAAACATACCTATCTGGAATAGGAACACGCTAGGGAGTGCTCCAGTGCACCAGCTTGAAGTGGGGCATCGCAACGTAAGGCGATGCAAGTTTTTCCTTTTATGGTGAACTCAGTTGATTGGCGAACTCGCCATGATAGGTGCAGACCTCTGACTGCACCGTTGGCCCAACTCAGGGCTTGCCACATTTCCCGTGAACCCGCGTCAAAAGGTAGTGCTCAAACCCATGAAACAGGAACAACATGGGCTCCTGGACCCGCTGGTGTGAATTCATGATTCTGTGTTTGCACAGCAACCAACGGGAAATCTAGTTGGCCAAAAGCAGGACGTGTAGGGAACCCTGAAGCAGGCAGCCTAGCCCGGCCTGCGAGAGAGTGGCTGCTGCAAAGTAACGCCTCAGACGGCCGGCGCGTTTCCCCGGTTGATCCCTAAGCACAACCGGCAGTGACACAGAACTACAAAGGAACCCACTACCATCTGGCATAAGGATTGACTTTGAAGAACCCAGTTCTCACCATGTTGAAACTCAGTTGCCAGTAATGCCCCCTGTGAACTACACAGAAAACCCCCCTGATCACAGAAAGGGCCTGGGGTTCAGTGGTCAAGCTGCCTGGCGATCCTGGGGGGATAAAGGGCAATGGGATCAATCTTTTTGGGGGGTCGGGAACCCTACCCCTCCCCAAAAACAAGCAAAAAGGGTGCGGCTGCCTTGGGGGCGGAACAAACACTTGAGGACGTGCCTTCTGCGGCTTGATTCCGGCCATGAAACAATTCTTGAATGGTTCGTGGGCTCTCTGAACAGGAGATTTCGCCGCAATTTCTACGGCTGGATCTCAGACAGGGAAGCCGTAGCTGCCTCTGGGTACGGAAGGGTGGCTCGCATGAAAGACGAACATGTCAGCACAGCTGCTGATCTGAGGCAAGTCAGCTCAGGTAGCATCCCATTAGTGCACTATGGGCTGCACAAGGGGTTCTGCGTACAGCCGCTGCAGTCCGTTTTGTGCATGTTCCAAATCTAGCGCACCATACGGATGCCGCGCAAACTGCCAAAAAATCTTGGCTCAAGTCCTTAACTTGATTTCCGCTTCGTTCCACATGTCCTCCATGGAGGGCATGCTAGAGTCTTCATGCAGGGCAGGTGGGTTTTCCTGGCTTTCTCGCAGGACATGCGCGAGGCGTCCATTGGGACATGCGCGAGGCGTCCATTGGGCCTATGCCTTCTCCAAGCAGTTTGGCCGCGACTACCGGCGCCTGAGCTTCGTTCTCCGACCTCATGGCCGAAAGTGGGTGATCTGCTTCGGGGTGCTCACCAGCTTCCCTGAGAGACTCAAGGCGGAATGGATAGTCCTTTCCCTTGATCCAGGGCTCGCTCGATTCCTCACCAGCGACAAGGACCAAGTCTGTTGGCCACTGGCGTGATGGCTCAAGCGGGCAGTTTCTCATTGCGATTTCCCCTGGCAGCGTGCTCCGGGCAGCTGAGCGCAAGTTTGCAGTAGGATCGCTCCGGGATTTGTACAGTCTGATTCTGGTCGTGGGGCCGAGTATGAGCAAGCAACGGCGGCATTAAACAGCCATGGATTGCCTTTGGAGGGGAATGCTATTTTAGGGTGGCAAATCTTTGCGGTTGGCAACGCATGCTGCCCCAAAGCACTGGCTATCCCAAGTAGCGGTCGTGGCGGAAGCTTTTCATTGACGAGCAAGAAACAGGGAGGAAACAATCACAGCTGCCAATTTATTGCGCCTCTCCTGATTCACGTCTTACAGAGAAAGGCGCCGCATACTGCACTATCTTTGTCGCGTGCTTTGCCTTTTCGAAGCATGGGCCTCCCGGGCGTGGGACTGCCTTGCAAGATCTTGCGATATCGTGACGCTTGGGCAGGGTAGAAAGCCGGATCGGAGCTCGCTTTGGGGTTCTTTAGCGCATTAAACAACTTGTGCAGGATTCCCTCCGCACGTGTTCCAATAGCACCCGGAGGGTTAAGCTCTATGGGCGGACTCCCTTGATCAATGAGGGGTGTTGCTTGTTGAAACACCACGCGCTGTCGGCCATCGGAGCTGCTAAGAACTTGCCCGTTCTCATTGGAAGACTGCTGCATCGATGGCTGCAAAATCCGCGGCCAACTAGATCAACGTGTCTGACTTTAGGACTGCGGTTTCACCGTGGGCGACAGTTCCTGAAACCTGAGCCGCGGAGTCTGAGCTGGATCTGGTGGGACCTTCGCCTGTCTCGGAAATGGCCAGCCACATTGGCAATCGCTTACACCAAATGAGACCGTACAGAAACGAGCTGGCAGCTCCCCAATGTCCATGGGCCGTGCCAGGGCCAAGAGCAAGCGCCCACAGAACTTGGCAAACACGCGGGAAAGTCCCAGAGTCTTTGGATATTTGTTTTTTTGCCAGGGGGTTCCCTTAGCTTGGCCTACGTTGCTTTGCCCAAGCCGCAGATACAGCCTGAAAGAGTGTCTGGCAACCAACACGGAGGCATCCACAGTTGGGGTGTTTTGTCTTCCATTTGCCTAAGCCACCTGGAGAAAAACAAACATTTCCTGTAGTGGCAGATAGCGGCAGATTCCTTTTTTTGTTAACAACAAAACAGGGGAAATAACAAACATGGTTGAGCAAATGGAAGTTGTTGATCGGCCAGATGCCGCAGCTCCCAATATCCCCAATGGGCCCCTGGGCTGCCGGGCAGTCTGGAGAGGATGGCGAAGGATGGGATGACCCTGTTGAGGTCAACCATGGTGCCATCCGCGTACTGGGACTCGATTCGCCAGTACTTGTCCTCAGGCTGCGAATGACTTGACGACCTCTCAGGGGCTCAAGAAAGCCCTCAGTTGGTTTCTTCAGCCTCACTCTCTCTCTCGCTCTCTCTCTCTCTCTCTCACTTTCTCTCTCTTTCTCCCTCTCTCTCTCTCTTCTAATTCTCTCTGTCTCTGTCCCTTTTTTTCACTCTCCCATTATCTTTCTGTTGGTGCTTTTCATTCTCGTTCTCACCCGTGTCACACACACCAACAAGGGTTGTGCTTTGCCAATTGAAGGAGAAAGCACTCACAACGCATGCGCACACACACACACAAATATATATATATATATACTCTCACATTTTGTTGAAACTGTAGCCGCAAAGCACGTCGCCCTAGTGGGTCGCCCAGCCAGAGAAAAAGCAACACGTCTGCCGCCGCCAACGGCGCGAGAGCGCAGGCAAGCGGCTGGGGAGGTCACGTCAGTGAAGGTGTCTCGCGGGTTCACCACGAGGGCGCGGAACATGTAGCTGGTGCCGTTCCTTTGAAGCGAGGCGTATCGGTGATTCCCCCAAACCAGCGAGAAAACCAGGGTCTATACCCCGCCGTATAGTGGTTGCATGTGTTAAAGTATTGGGGTAGTGGCTTGGAGGTAAAGCAACCTATGTTAGATGGCCAGGTGCCCTGGAAGGCTCCGGACTCCAAACCAAATGACCCCTTTATGATCGTATGCAGTCGTATGGAGCTAGCTGAATCATGCTTGGGTCAAAAGGGCTCCAGACGGGATGTAGGATTCTTAGGTTCGTCTGGAACCTTTTAGATCGCGGCATGCCCCATCTCATCCTCTCAGAAGCGACTTCATGCACCTGCTTGCATGCCATGCCTTCTGTTCAGCGATTGGAAGCTATTTATGCAGGCAATGTTGGAGTGTGCGCATGGTCCCGCATGCTTCTTCTGCCCTTCGCAACTCCTGAGTGCCCATTCATGTTTTGCTTGCCACCAGCATGAACAAGGGCACTTTTCTTTTCGCCGTGTTGACTCCAACCATAGGAGACAAGTGACGCCCGATACTTGTCTGAAGGGCTCCCGCGAGGGGCGAAGCCAAGAGATAAGTGGAAGCAGAACTCAGATCACCTGTGGGACTGGTCATCAAATGGTCCAAACGAAACGCTAACAAATCCAAGTCGACTTGGAAACAAGCACCTTTGCACCCACCCTACCGTGGACGGACAACATCCTGGACAATGGCTTCTCATGGCTTCAAAGTGGGTAGGACCTTCCCCAGTACCGCTAAACCAACATATGGCTGTGGGTCAAAAATAGGTACCCAAAATGGAACCCTGGTACATGGAACCCTGGTAAATGGAACCAAAGACTAAAACCAGCGGTCCCCTGGTGACTTAATTTTGAGCCACACCCATATGGCCATGTCGAAAAGATACGATGTCCACATCTCTGCCCAGCGATATCTAGGCTGCCGACTGCAGCTCCCGCATGAAAGGCAGCGTAATCCTCAGGCGAGCGATGTCACAAATCTGGGTTGGCTCCAAGGGGGGAAGCCCTGAAAATGCCGGGCTTCCTGTGGTTTTCTCCCATGGCTTTGGTTCCCCCTTTGGCTTCCTTTGCTTCAGTCTCCATTTGGTGTCCCATTCGTTGTCCTTTGTTCGGTATTCATTCGGAACTAGTTGCTTAGGAATCTGCTTGGCTTCCTCTGGTCTTCATTTGGCTTTCCTTGGTTTTGCTTTGGTTCTCCTTTGGCTTTCCTGTGGTTTTGCGGTTTTTGGTTTTGTGTGTTTTTGAATGTATTCCATTCCTTCCGGCGCAACCCCAAAGAAGGGTACCCTCAAGAAAACACATGCCCATTTGCAGTGGAAGGCGAGCCGCCATGCTTGCTCGCAGCTGGGGGTCTTTCTGTTGATCCGTCAGGTAGGCCATCCAGTCACTCAACACCCGTGAGAAATGAGCTATGTACCACCGCTAAACAATCATGCCAAAAAAGACGGCTCTCGGGGGGGCGGGAGAGGCAACCATCTCCCACCTAGGTCCTCCAGTAGGGAGGTTAGAATAAGGATGCCCTTTTTTCTGTAGTCAATTTTAGTAGGGGACCCCTCCCCCAAAAAAGGGTAAAAGGGCACTACTGGGGGACCTAGCCACTCGTCTTTGGGAGCTCAGTCCGTCCAGCCCGCTTGTGGTGCCTACAATGTGCGCAACACTGGCGAAGATTCAGCTGAGGGCCTGGCTTGAGGACGTTCCCATTGTTCCCTCTGCATCCCGTGCCCTTGGGAAAGCCGATGTACCCCGTCCTAAGTGTCAAGGCGAACAGACATTCCAGGTGCTTCCGGGCCATAGACTCATAGACCCCCGAAATGCTGCTCTCTCAGGGCACCGTGCAGAACTCATCTGAGTGTCGGGCGTGAACGTGTCCAGGGTAAAGCTCTGACCTGCGGCAAATGGGTTGAGGAGGCGAGAGGCAGTCGAGTTTTTGCCCGTGATGCGGCGTTCATATTAGCCGTTTCACGAGATTTCAATGGAGTCCATGACTTTGACAGGCCCCAGAGTGGGGTTTGTGCTGGTAGAGCAGGGCCTATGGAGGAATGGAAAAGAGTTGAAAAAGCATCCGCCTAAAATATCTCCTCTGGAGTTTCGCGCACCGGGGATGGGGGGAAGCCCAGCCACAGCTTGCTGTTTGCCACAGCTTGTTGCTTGCCACCTGAGGCTCCGACAAATGCTCGGGAAGAAGAAGCCCATCGGTGCTGTGACCACCTGGTCTTACTCCCATGACGCGGAACCCGTGGAGATATGGGTGATCTTGATGGGATCTCAGCGGGATTGAAGCACTGGGAGTCTAACCGCAGCTTCACGAAGCAATTTGTGCAATCTGCAACACGGGTTACCATCTGGATCATGGGTGTGGGATGCTACAAAAGGTGTGTGATATCTTACTTGGACTGACATGACGTTCTCAACCGCTTTGTCGCACGTCTGACAGGTACTAGTCTGCCACCTTTGTGGATGCGCCCAATGAACCGAGAAGCCGACTTGCTGAAGAGCCGTCCCCCATTCATGTACCAACCAAACTAACCTGAAAGTAAACCAACACTCATGCCCCTCGGCATCCCCACCCCCTCAAAGCTCAGGAGCTGACAACAGAATGCGCTGAGAGTGGCATGGGCGGCAGCCTGCGTTCTTTGGAGAACAAAGCCAAAAGGTCCACGTGTTTGGGCCAAACGTGTATGCGTCGAAACCAGGGAACCCCTTCAATTGGTTGGTTTCTTGTTATCTTTGCCAACGCTGCGGAAGTGGGAAATTGATCGCCATAAGCATAGATGACGTCTCAGCATGCTTCGGTAAGCCCCAGAGTTTTCATCTGGAGGCTTCGGCAAACGGCGCCATGCAATGTGGCCTGACAAGCGAGGCTTTGCCACCAACCAGCTAGCAGTATACCCATCTCGAGGTGCTTCGTCACTGCACATGGCTGTGCCGAAGGAGGTTTGCTTCCTTGCTGGTTCCTTACAGGCCTGCAGAAAATATGTTGCGATTCCCAAATGACCGCCCTCATACCGCTCTCAGAAACCAAGCAAATCGCTTGCTTTGCGTTCCTAAGACTGCGGTGATAGCAAACATGTACTGTGTGGGAGGGGGTGCAATCTCAGACGTAAGGACCCCTTCACGGCGAACCTCTGGCTCGCCCGCTAATCTTGGGTTCAAAGCCAACAAGTGCAAAAAGACGAGCCTAGTGCTCAACATGAAGCCGATGTCCACGTGGTTGATCGCAGCCTCTCCATCAACACCTGGAAAAGCTGGCAGGCTGTTGGACCTGGAAAACCCTGGCGCATTAAAAAGCAAGACAGTCTTGAGTGGTTTTGCAAAAAAATGGGCTCCCTCAGCCATGGGTTTCTCAATTCTGGGTCACGAAGACAGCTGTCAGCCCGCATGTAGCCCAGGCGCCGTTGCCCTGGTTGTAAGCCTTCAGGACTGGGTTCAACCTAAGTACGAGCAGATGGGGCAGCGTGATCAGAGCGGGCGAATGAAATAAACGCCTGGTTGGGGGTGGCCCATTTGAGGCGATCCTTTGGTATTTGCGAGTATTTGGGAACTTTATCCACCAGGTTGACGAGTTTGATTGATCAGTCTGAGGTAGACAGCAGGCATCACTTGCCAAGCACGGCTGGCATCCTTAGGTCCTTGCACAACCTGGATCTGGAAGCCATAGACCTCAATCAGCAGGACACATGTCCCCTCTTGTCTCTCCGGCTGCCTTGTCAGCAGCAAGAGCCCTGGCAAGCCTATTCTCCAAGCTTGGGCCAGCCTAGCATGCGCAAGCATGTCCCCAATGCCTCGGCGAATCCCCGTTCGGTTTTCTGAAGCTCGCACCATGGAACAGCCACCCCGAGAGAACTTGCCGAAGGCAGGACGCCCAGATCTCTGCACCGGCGGCCCGAGAGCCCGGCCCAGGACTCCGACATGAGCCGCAGCATGTTCGAGTCGTAGATCCTGCGCGGCAATGCGGGCATGCCAAGAAGTTGTGGCAGCATGGACTGCAAAAGTGTGAAGGCAAGAAGGTTGGGAGTTCAAAGGCAACAACAGGAGTATGGCGTTCCCTTGTTTGAACGCACTCTTGAACCATACATGATTTAGATGGGTTGCGACTGTCAATAAAGACAAGCGCGTCCAACTCGAACAGACGTCTGTCCAGCTAGCTAGCTTTAGGCAAGGGCTCGCCTGCCTGCCAAATAATTGCTTGAACGAGGCCAACAACATGCTACGTAAAGTACGGGCCGTCATTCTTGGCAGCACTCCCGGGTGATGTGTGGTTAAAAGGGAACTTCAGACCTTGGGGAAAAACAAAACACCAAAAGAACAACACATCCACGTTCATGTCATGATAATAACAAATCCACACCACACGTATCTGGCCAAGTGCCAGTAAGAGGTTTTTCCGCGTCTGTCGCGCCAAAAAGCGGCTGAGGGCCGCGCGTGAAGCCCCAGAAGTTCCGCGCGGGAGTGAACATGGGGTTCTTCACCTTCAGGGGTTGGAGCAATTTTCACCCCCAAAGTTTTAGCCACACCTCAAGCAAGTGGAAGTCAGTGGAAGCTCTGAATTTTCATTGCCCCCAGGCCCCCAGGTCGGTGATTGCATTAATCCGTGTACATGATGCCCCCCCCCCCCCCGGATTATTTTGAGGGGGCAGGGCGAAAAGGTGAAAACATACATGAGGAAAGGAGCAACGCTCCCGCCTGGAGTTGTGGTCTTACTAAGTGTGTCAGCTATTCTGTCCAGACGTGAGCAAGCAGCTTCCTTTGGATGTGGACAAGGGAGACAGAAGCCGGTGACACCAACATGTACCAAACATCCTGTGGTGACTTGACATGGCGACAGGCACGGGCTGAGTTTACTGGTGGATAACTAAGCGCTACAGTGTTTTGCCGACGTTGGTCAACCTTTATCCCGTAGCTTTGAAACAAGTGTGGTGGCCCTTGAACCTGCTTTGAGTTATCCCCTTTTTCTTCGACCACCTTACCTCTGTCCGCCACTTGCCGAGAGTGTTCTAGTTGCTCGGGCCCGAGGGCGCTCCCCATGATCAAATCGAACAATAGAGCACAATTTGACCTGAGAAATGAAATGCTTCCATGTTCTGGAGCATTGCCCCGAGCGCTAACCCAGTGAGCGATTTCCTGAAGGGCTTCATCACTGAGAAGCAGACTGTGGCATAAACTCCGTAGTCGCCGAGCTGCCATGGTTGGGTCTCGGCAAGTAGGCGGATGCGCCGGGCTGTGAGAGGGTGCTCGTCTTGGGGCTTGCCGTGAGCCTTCCTTCATGGCACGTTAGCAAGGTATTTTCGCGTCCTTTCCGGCAAGGAGACCCACACATCTTCTGAACCTACTTTCGGGCTCCTTTGGTTCAGAGAGACTCTCAGTAGGCAAACGGGTAAGGGCAAACACGAACTAAAACAAAGACAAGCGTAATTGCACGTGTGCCCGAGGTCCCAAGGGCCTGCACAGGCTCAGCAGTTATGCCCCTACCTGCCAACCAGGCACAAATTCTTGCGGGACAGTGGTGCTTGGTATGAGCACCACGGCCCCTTCCACACAACAACGCGCTGCCTGGTGTGAGCCTAGGTACTAGACGCTACCCTCTTGAAATTGAGCAACGCTACCACCGCTTTCTTGCTCCGTGCCTGTGCCACAAGAGACCCCTGCAAACATCTAGCCGTAAGCGTGCAGCCAGCCGTCCGTCATTTCAAACACAGGCCCTGCGATCAATGGCCTGAGGTTCCGGGATCAACATTACCGCATGCGACTTGGGGTTGCCGGGTGACCCTGGTAGAAAAGGGGAACCCTCCCTTCCTTTATGGGTGGCCAACCATTTTTGCGGTGGGTCCCCGCCAAAAAAAGAAACAAAAACCAAGCAAAGACTGGGGGAGGAGGTTGGACGCCGCATGACTCCGCTGGAAGACACCTCTGTGGCGCGGGCGATCTGCACCCGAGCGATGTGCTTCATGCTGGCGTCCGCAGCGCCCATGCCTTGACCTCCGCTGGAGACATGTGGCCGTGCCCTGTTTTAGGGACTTCGCTTTTTTTGCGTGTTTTTAGGGTTCCCATGGCTCCCGCTGATTTGATGGCTTTTACATGAAAACCACCACCATGTGTTGGGGGGGCCCCCTAGAAAAAGACAAACGCCATGCAGATGGGAGCCGTGCAAGAAACGGATACAAGGAATGAAGGCTGCCAGGCGAAACTCAAAAGGCTTGGGGAATGGCATGAATGCAAAGGCCTGGTCACGCCAGCCGTCCCACGCAACCAATCTGTTTGCAGGGATGCAGAAAGCAACTCTGCCAACACCTGCGGCCCCTTGGTTGTCTCCTTGCTGGGCACCAGCAATGAAACATTTCTATGCGCGTTCTCTTTCATTGCATGAGAGGGCAGCTTCCAACCTATCACTTTCTGGAATGGGCCCTTCAAATGGCAACAGGGAAGCTGCCTCAGCGTTGTTTTGCTCAAGCTTCTCAGCGCGTTGAACTTTTGCTTCGAGAAAGTCTTGCAGTCTACTCCCCCAAGCTTGCTGTACCAAGGATGTGCCCATGGCGTACATGTCCCCATCCATGAGGTGTCTAAGGTCGCTCACCCAAAGGGGTTTTGTTCGAGTGTGCCAATTCCCATGTTTCCCTCCAGAGGTTCCTCGTTTGCCTAAAGTCTCGGGCGAGCAACCTTGCAGCAACCTTGCATGTGCCCGAAACTGCGCCCTATCTAAGCTACGAGTACAAGCTGTAAGGCAGTATGAAGGGCTCAGCCGAGCAAAGTATGTTGAGCATGCCTGGCCCTTGCGACCCCTGAGCTCCCAAGCACAGAGTCATGGTGGGCCCAGGCAGCATGTTGGGAAGCCACACCGCCCATCCAACCTGGCAAAGCTGAAACCCATTTCGGCCTCTGAACCGCGGCTTCTCACAGTTGCTGTCTGTTTGTCATTCTTGGTTTTCATGTGTGCCTATATTCATGCATTTCCCTTCCTTGTCTATCACCTTGTTTGGCATGCCTTGTCTCACTTTTCAATGTAGGCATATCTACGCACATCTAAATACAACATGAATTCTGATGGCTTCTCCAGTCTATTCATCTTGGCTCGCTGACAGGGAAGCTGCTAAAATCCCAAGGGGTTCCAACGGTTGACCCTAGCATCCACCCCGCTCAGTCTCTGCGAGGCATCGTTCTGTTTCTGCTGCCTGTTCTTCGCCTGCGCTCTTGGCTCCAAGGCGAACCCAGCTAGCGACCCCCCCTTTTCCCGGTCAGTTCCTGATTTCAAACATGAACAAATTTTGGCCGAATGGTCATCACATAGCTGTGAATTCCAAGCAGGTTGACCGGGGATTCAAACCAGCACCACTAAAGTCTTAAACAGGGGAGACTGTTAGTGAGGGCAGGGTCCAAGGTAAACCTCTTTTTGTGGGCTTCTTCCCCCATTTTTCGGGTAACCCCGTGGATAAAAAAACACTTCATCTTTTGTCTTCTCTTGAATTTTGAGGGGGGAGGCTTCCGCAATACCACGCGCGCTGCCTCTGAATCACAGGCATCGTTGAACTCGAAGCCAATCTCGGAGCGGAGGGGCGGGGGCGCGGCGGCCAATTAGAACCGGCGCGGCCTTTCTACTGGACCCTGATCCTGTGGGCTCCCCCCATTCACACGTAAAGGACGAAACCATTTAGAGGAACCTCCTTTTGGGACCTTTTGGGATCTACCCTTGCTTGCTGGAGAAGGGCGCGGGGGGGGGGCGGGTAAGGACGTAAGGACCTGCCAGTGCGTTCTAAAACAGAGCCTAAAACGATTTTTGCCCTCCCTTTACAGCAAGGCCAATCGCAATAATTAGTCCCCAGTTGGGCCTCCGTATGAGCCCATCTTCCCCTCACTTGCCCAAAGGACCAAAAAATGAAAGGTTAACCTTTTGGAACCTTTACTAAAAAGATAAAACGGAAAACCAATAGGTCGGTTTTGGGCAAGTGAAACTGGCTGGTCCTTCTCAATTCTCAGAGGCCACCCGGTAAGGGGTTCCAGCAAGCTCGCTTGGGGCGCCCCACTGGAGCGCGAACTTCCAGCACCTGCATGGGTCTCACCCAAGTTGTGGAGAGGCCCCCCACGAACATCAATCGCAAGGAAACTCAAACCAGATTGGCCCAAGAGGTGATGGTGTACTCCGCGGAGACAAACAAGTACCGCGGTTGTTCCGAAAACGCAAACAAAATGCAAGCTGAACAGTCCTGATCAATAATTGGGGAGAGAGGTTGCTAATCCAGGGTCAACTTCATGGAGCGCACAAGACCAATCGCCTCATTTATTCCATCCGGGCACCCTAAGTGTACCCGACACCGCTGACTCATGTTTCCTCTGGCAATAATATGCGGAGTCCCTTCTTGGTAGGGCTTGAACTCTTCCAAGGACCACCCTGCTCAATACCCAAAGGGGCGGGGGAGGTGTTAATTGGGGCTAACGTTGTGCGAGAGAATCCTGCCGCAACATCTTCCGTCTCTGCGCGCGCATGCAGCCAAGCCAGGGCATGTGTCACGCGAAGAAGGCAAGCGCATGTTGTTGCCAAAGACATCCACGCATGACCTGCGTCTCAAGTGGAGCCTGAACACATGCTTCGCAAAATCATTCGTGGAACAAGTGACCCTTATGGATTTGGAAATGCGTATGCCTCATGGACTAAACTACCAAAGGATGTGCCAAACCCATACTGATACTTGATACTTTGACTTCGGGCCCCGTCAAACACATTCGATGGATTGTTCCCCAGCCTTTGGCCATTTCCTCTCCTGCCCACAGGCTATGAGGAAGCAGCTTTCCATGTTGGCGAAAAGCTGAAAGGGAGCGCCGCTGAAGACACCTTTCTTTTTGACCAACTTTTAAAGGGAGAGCCACTAGGTCCTCCAGTAGAGAGGTTAGAATAAGGGTACCCTTTTTCTGTAGTCTATTTTCGTAGGGGAACCCTCCCCCAAAAAAGGGTAAAAGGGCACTGGGGGACCTAGGCCATCCAAGGGACTTGAAGAAACACCCAGCCCCAAGTCCCCAAGCCGAGCTCACTGGAGCCCATTCTCTCGGATCGCTCCATTCCGCGCCGTGTTCCCGGAGACCGCCATGGTGGTGCCCAGGATGAAGCTCACAATCTCGGCGTTGGGGAGACATGGGGCGTTTGGTGAAAGTGGCTGGCACCTCCCAATGTTGGGAATGGCATCCTCTATACTTGTGGGCATGAGGGCAGTAGCTCCATCTTGTTCCACCCTAGTTTATCATAGTGAGCCTTTGAAAAGGGGAAGATCCTATAAAAAATGGCAATCTTCTCTTTAGCCTCCGTTAACATACTCACCAACCTGAACCACGAATCCTTTTAGTGGGCCTTCATTGTGTGGGTGAGCTCGGGTTTGCTAAGTTTTTTTTTCTCGAACATGCAAGCTCTTGCTCAAGGGATTCTTGGAATCAATCAATATTCAACTCACCACATGAGGACAAGAGTGGGCATCATACCCCTCCCCAACTCCAGGCGCAGTTTCAGACATACCGAATCTTTCTACACACCCAAGTAGTTGATGTAAAACAGCCTTAGTCGGAATTCAGAGGTTGGCCTTCTGGGGTCGATAGCTTGCGTCAGAAAGCAGGCTTGAACCTCCACAGGACCTGATCACATTCTGTCCTTCTCCCTACATGTTCAAGCTCCCGAGTTCCAGGAACTGGGGAGAACTGGGGGGACGAGGCTCCAAATGGAAACCTGCTTTCTCCCCCTCGCGCCCCACCATCCCGAACGTTACATGCCTGGGTTTCATCAGGCGGTGGCTGCTTGAAATCCCGTCTACTTGCTTCTTGTGTGCCAAGTGGAAATATGCGACAAATCCCTTCTACGAGCATTTTGCTGTGCCTAATTCTAGCTCTGAAATCACAGCTGAACCAACCTCGAGCCCAGTGATTCACCGTGCGGTTGCTCCCACTCTAGGCCCATGGCGTTGGCGGTTGCTTCCACCCGTCGGTCCTGGAGCCGTGCACGCCGCGAAGATTCTGAGCGATATCTCCGCTCTCCATTCGTTCCAGATGTTCTTCTCTCTGGGACAAGGGCCAATCGCCAGGGGGCATGTTTCGTTTGTGATCAGGGGGATGGCTGAGACAAATGGTGAAAGAAACCCGTAGCACTCAAATGAGCCTATGTTCGAAGAACTAGCTCTCCCTTTGACACCGCCACCAGGCACTGCCCTACGGGCATGAGTGTCAAATTACCTTGCTGAGCCTCAATGCACATCAATGGAAAGGAGGCAAACGGTGGCCAGCTGGTTGCTTGGGATTTTACGAGGTAGCTTGCCATGTTAAAATTGTTCAGCCACCACTCCACTTGAGGGGTTGCTTGAATCGTGGGGCAAGAGCTCCTCCTAAAAATGCGCAACGCGGGTCACGTTTAATGCAAGGATTTCTAGCTCAGCTGATGCTAAAGCAGCTGCCGGACGGTAATCAGACGCTCCAGTTGTTGCAATACCGGCTCCCGATGTCTTTCCCTCAAGCAGCTCAATTTTGCTAATTGTCTGTACCTCTAGTGCCCTAAGTTTGATGCGCTCCCAGCTCCCGGCAAGGAACACCACCAATTATAGCACCAAAGCCAAAATGCCAGTCCTCCCGGATCATGTCGAACACATACCGCGTGTTGTCCATGCGTTGCGCCAGCCTGGAATGCCATAACTTCTGGCACTTAGCATTGAGATTGGCTCCCAACCTAAAGCAACCGACCTTAACATTTGGTACCCCTCAGCAAGTCCACGCTCCCACATTGGCAATGCTGAGGAGATGAAGTGCGTCAATTGGTGAAAAATGGGTGGATCATCAGCATTGAAAGGGCGCTGCATTCTGCCCTGCATGAGACACAAGTCGCCGTGATCTCTGCGTGGCGCCTTTGGCTCAAACGATATGGCTGACCCTGCCAAACCTCCCATTGGGTCACCAAAGAAAGCATATAACGCGTAAGCAACTGTTTATCAAAAAGCCATCCCAATCAATCACCTGGTGGCCAGGAGCGACACGGCTTGCTCAAAGCCAACTGCAAGTACACAGGTGCTTGCCCAAGTGATGGTTGTCCAAATTATTGAACCCTTCTTTGGGCACGGCTAGTGTCACTGTGACCGCAGCGAAGGCAACCAGCCAGTCTTGACAGAACCGAGCGGTCCCAAACAGCCATGGCCGCTGCGCCAGCGTGGCTCAAACAGGCGCAAAGGCATGGGCTGAATTGACTGGCAAACCCCCTGGGCAAAAAGAGTCAAACCTCAGGCTGGACACTCCGCAAGCGTAAAGACCGGGGTCGATTTGGGTGACCCATGGGGTCTAACAACTGGATTCCTTCCGGGATGCGCGCAACATTGTCATTGCAAGCCATCGGAACCTGTTTATTGTTCAAGGGGCCTAGTCGCAATCCGTAATCTGCTTAATCCTTGATTGAAATGTGTAATCGCCTTAATCCGCAATCCACGCTGCAACGTTTGAGTCAAACCTTTATGTTGGAGTTGGAGCATGGAAAATAAGTGCAACCCATCATCCCACAATCCGCAATCCGCATCATCTAATCCGTAAACCGCACAATCCGTAAGCAGCAAATCGTTGGGGATTGACTTGCTGGCCGCCGCATCATCTAATCCGTAAACCGCACAATCCGTAAGCAGCAAATCGTTGGGGATTGACTAGCTGGTGATCAGTAGGGGATGACCCGGGGGTTGGGGAATGACCCAAGGGATTCCCTGAAGAGAAACCATAGGGGATGGTTTTTCTCGGGGTCATCACCCGGTCGAAGCAACGGAAGCTGAAGAGTTGCCACTGGTGCAGTGCCCCGCCCTGGTCCAACACTTCCATCCGAGTCTTCCCCGCAGGGAACCTAGTTATAAGTTATATGGGTGGGGTGGTTTTCCCTTTAAAACCACACACAACGGGTACAAGCAAGAAAAGTCACCCCCCATCTTCAGGGATTTCCAGCAAATGAGTGTCCCAGTTTGAGTGACCTCAGCCACGTGCATCATGCAACATGTCAAATGAGCTCATACTCCACTCGTTGTTCGAAAGAACCCATCTCCTGCGAACAATCTGAAGGATTTGGTGATCCCCCATTGAACAAGTGATCTTTCACCCAAATATCCAAATGTTCTGGGCAAAAATGCTGGCATTGGATTTTGCAAAGGAACCTCAGAAAGGAAGCATGGGAACTGGGTCCGCGACTGAAAGCCTGCCGTAGTGGCTTCCTCAACCACCTGCACGTGAGCCGCCCGTGAGTACAAGGGGAACAGTCCCAGGGGCCTATGGCAATCCCTGGAGTGCCAGAAGGGAACCTTTTGCGATGGGCAGGACAGCCTAGTGAAAAGAAAACATGGGAAGTGCCTCCCAGTCTCAAGCATGAACAAACAGGCTGCTAAGTTTGCTTATCCACATGGGGCAGGAACGATTCCCGCAATCGGCAACCAGCGTTTCCGCCACTGGAAGGATTAATGGGCACCTCCGTCCAACAATCTTGTCGGCCTTCATGACCATGGCGCATTTTGCAAAGACCTCCAAACCGGGACCCAGCATAGGGGGCCCAAGCGGCCCAGCAAGAAAGGGGACACGGCAGCTTAACCAACAGCAGCTGAAGAGAAACATGGCGCCGATTCATCGGTTCAGATTCGGGGCCGGCTTCTGGCCAACAACCTGGGCAACACTTAAGCAGCAGCGTGCCCTTTCTTTCACGGGGCCAGGCATGCAGCTGGGTGAGACCGGCACGTTCAGCAGCCCGTACCAGAGGGTGTCTCAGACATCCAGGAAGGTTGGTTGAAGCCTTGCAGTTAATCGGACGCAAACGGGTCGAGCTTTGCACAGAAGGGGTTCCCTGAATTTGGTCTGCGCAAACAGGTCCTTGAAGACAACGGCCTAGGCCGGTCTTGCAAGGGACCCGCTGTCAGTTGTCATGGGAAAGGGCTGCTAGCGCCATCGCAGTCGTTGAACTCCCGGTACTTGTCACACTTTCCACAGGGCTTTGAGAGCTCGTCTGTGTGAGGCCTGCAGGTACGTAGGAGCGAAGTGACAAACCACTTCACGTCCTTAGCTGAGACGTAGGACATGATCAACGCAAGGCACAGCACATCCAGCAAATCCAATTGCCGGACCACCCTGCAATAGAAAACCATGAAACCGGCTCCTGTGCCAAAGTAAATGGTTTCAGTGGCGGCCATAGGTGGCCATTGGAATCAAGGGCCTTTTCCGCTCCTGTGCATGAGGCACTGATGAGTTTTCGATTGGCCACATTCCAAGAGCCATCCTTTGGCAACCATCAATGGTGCTCACACTCACCTTGCAAGCTAAAAATAGAGGCCCGTTGTGCAGGCTGCTCTTGGTCTGGCTGATTGACATGGAATCCCATCGCACAATCCCAGAGAGTGACCCAACAAGGCGCCACGTGTATTTGGCCTCGTATATATATATATATAACTATATATATATATATGTATATACATGTATATACATATTCATACATATATGTATACATAGTTATCTTGTCCCACATGTACATACAATATAAAATCAACTAAACCAGAATTGGTTTGGATTGGCGGTTTGGGGGTTTGAACCCCTGCTTCTCGGAGAGGCGGCGGATGGGAAACCAAACCAAATCCAAACCACCAAACCACCAAGCCACCCATCCAAACCACCACAATTGATGGGGGAAGCGGATGGGTCATACTTTGTGGAAGGGTCACTCCAGTTCCTTGGCTCCAGTTCCTTGGTCACTGCAACACGCCAGTTCCTTTTGTAGTGCTCTCCAGCTCCAGTTTCCTTGTGTACACCTATGTACGTGCAATATGTGGGTATGGGCCAACATAAAAATCACCGGGGGACCGTGGGTTTTAGTCCTTGAGTCCATGTACCAGGGTTCCACTTTGGGCACCTATTTTGACCCCACAACCATTAAAAAAACTAACTAGGTCCTCCAGTAGAGAGGTTTGAATAAGGGTACCAACTTTTTTGCTGTAGTCAACTCTCCCTCAATAAAGTTGGTAAAAGGGCATAAAGGGCAAAGGGGCACCTGGCTGGGGGACCTAGCTTATCTACGTACAATGTAAGGAAATCTTTAGGAGGGTCACTCCAGTTCGCTCCAAGCATCTTGCTCCAGAAGGCTCTGGACCAGGGCCTCCTGAAAGCAGGGGGCCAGTTCCTGGGCTCGCCGGGCGCGCGCGGAGGGAAAAAACAATCCCGGCAGCATGGCCCAGTTTTTTTCACTTGGCTTCCTTCGTTTCCTAAAGTCCATGGCACATGTTTGCATTTTTCCCTGGGTTCCTTCATTTTGTAGAGTCTGGAGACTATAACTTTGGATGACCACAAGTAACAGCATGTTACAGTAGCCGAAGAATGAATACATGCGGGGTGATTCGGGTCGCATGAAATAAGGGACTTCCGGGCCTCTAAAAAAAGTGGTTGGCTTCCGTGTTTTCCGTTTGTGTGCTATCCAAGAGGGCCGACCCTTATCGAAAAACACGGCACTTTGTGAGTGTGTCCTCTCTTGCTGGGGCCCTTTTGTGATCGTGTCAAAGGCCAGCCCCCCTCCCCACTAAAAGACCACAAAAACAACAACACACACAAACGGAGGGACCTGTTGAGCCCTCTCCCTCAAACAAAAAAACAAAACAAAAAACATCGAAAAAACAATCAAACAAACAACACACACAAAAAAAAAAAAAAAACACAAAAAAAACAACGGAGGGACCTGTTGAACACCTTTCAGGCCCCTCAAATGCTGGCTGAGGCTCATCCTGCGCCACTGGCGCCGCCAGGGCCTCCCAGAGACATTCGCAGGTGATCCAGCTGCAGCTGGCGAACCAGGAGACGTTGTTCTGCGGCTGGCAGGCGGCTTTCCAGCGACCCAGCCACTGGACCTCAGTTGGAAAGGCCTTCATTCGCCTGGAGGCTCGGGAGTTTAGTAAGCTCAAGTATTGGTGTCATATCATGGAGTCCCCTTCCCCCCCTTCCCCTGAGGGGGGGGGTCCTGAGAATGACTGTTTTTTTTGCGGAACTGAGGGAGGATCTCACTGCGACTTCTTTCTGAATGCCGGCTCCTGCATGCAGTGCTGCGAATGTGCAGTGTGAGGAATATCCGGAACTTGAGGGACCAGCAAACCTTCTTCCAAACTTTGGCAGCGATCACATGAGCTTGCTTGCTTCAAAATGGGCCCCATTCCTTGTGCTTCCCTTTCAATCCAGCCAAAGCAAAGCCCCCTGAGCAAAAAGACATATCATATCCAATTCAGTCCAAGCTTCGTATGGCTGAAGATTCGGGCAAAACCTGGCCTGCCCGCTGACCAGGCAGCATGTCTGCATCAGCAGTAGCGCAACAAGCCATAGGGCCCGTGACCGGACCTCGGGTGGAAAGAGGGGTGGTTGTGTGGGAGGTTCCGCTTGACCAGCCCAGATTTCGGACAAGAGGAAAAGCGAAGCAGCCTCAGAAGGACATTCCCCTATTCACCAATGAGTTCGCACTCCACGCCCATTGCTGGACACGCTGTCGCAAAGCTTGTGCCATGTGCTGAAGGGCAGCCAAGCCACCTCTACTGCCATCTGCGCCCGAGTCCGATGACTCAGCTACCCCACCAAGCGCATCTTCGCTTTCTTGAGCCATCAAGGCACCAGCCAAAGGAGCTTGGCAAATGTGTGCAAGCAGCACATCCACCTGCCTGCCCTGTTTCCAATGTGTGCCGGAAGGACATGTTTGGACGCAACCGCCATCTCCAACAAAACAGCTTTCCCGCCCAAGGCAGTCCAATACCTGCTACAGTAAGGGGGGGGGAGACTGATGTCCGCAAAAAGAATCAATAATCACCAATTGCTTGGACTGCCCTTCTCTGTTCGACAGTCCAGTCTGGAAACTATATAGACGTTTCTCAAAAAGGGGGTCACTGCACGCCGGCCGCATGCAAAACCGAGTCGTGGCCATGCAAATAACCAAACGAAGCTCACAGAAACATGAATCACCCGATCAAGAAATCTGGAAGCCTGCGGTAGCGAAGTGAGTGCCCAATGCCAACTTCCAATGAGAAACCTCAGGTTCACAACAACCATTGTCAACAGCCAACTGCCACCAATACTACTTGAGCACCCACAAAGCTTGATGAACAAGCCCTTTCAGTCAGTTTTGGGACCCATGAGAGCCCTCATCCCAGCTAAACACTTCCCTCCTCCCGCCCATCAAAGCACAACATAAAGAAAGCAACAACCAAAAAACTTGACTTCAAATTTCAGGGCTATTGCGAACAAGTCAGTTGATAGTCGCAGGGGTTGCCAGTCAATTTCCCCACAACCGCCAAACGCAATAATATTTCACCAGAGGAAATGGTTCTCCAGTGGTGTAGCATGTCTTGCATACAAGGAGGACGTCAATTGACAACATCATGCCAATCACATGTTGCTCGCCCAGGACAATCGCATCTACATTGTTGGCATCAATATCATATGTTCTATGCCGCATGCATTTGCATTGCTGTTGCCTGGTTGTGAAAATGTTCGCAGCGTGATGTCGGCTCAGAGCATGTGAAGTCGTTTCTCTTGGGTGTCGCACAGCCATCCGCATCAGCCCAAAGCCCCAACTCAACAATTCGAAGATGGCATGGTGCAGGTCGTGCATCGCATTGACCCATTTGCGTGGATGGGCAGTCTGCATTTTGACAGGCGTGTTGCAGGTGATCGCTTGGTCAGAAAGAGGTCTCGAAAACAGGCTTGCTTCAACAATCGCGTTGTGATTGGGTCAATCTTACTGTTGTTGGAAGCCTCTCAAAGGAAACGGTCCAAAACAGGATTTGGCTTGTTAAGATCCGTGTGGAATCTGAAAGTCAACCTCAGGCTCATGCACTTGCCAGTCCATTTCGCCAAGCACCCCAACCATTTCAACCGAACGAACGCGCTCGCTGGGCACACAGCGACTCCGCCGAAGGTTTGCCAGCGTTGCCTCCCCGGTCCCCGCCCTCCCCCCCCCCCCCCGGCTTGCGCCTCGTTTGCGATCATGGTGGCAATCCGGAAGACGTTTCTCAGGGGGTCCACGAACCTAAGGGGTCGCAGCAATATTCCAAACCACCTCTGCTCAGCCCAGCTCAACCGATGCGTCTCGGCCGCCTTGATTCATAAGCGTGCCTTCTCTCAGCGTGCCTTCTCTGCCAGAAAAAGTCGCGGCATGCCAAGACAGTACTGCAAAGGGCAGGATGGATTGCTCGGCGCCAATGTTGGTAACAGCCAGGGGAGAATTCAAGTTGCTTATGAACAGACTGGGAAAAACGTGGCCCTTAGTAGGCTACTCATCTTTGGTCAGGAAAATGTTTGAAACAAGGGAAGCCAAAGAGACCAGCGCTGAACTTGAAGCAGTTTTTCTTGCCTGACGTTGCTCCACACTGGAAAGGAACGCATAGGGCGAAGGGAGCTGATGGCCGATCGGGCGACAAACTTGCTTTATGAGGAGACTACCTTGAGATGCACAAGAGATAAACTTTAAACAGCAGCAACACACGATTCTGGGAAAAGATCTCTGTGCCCCCAAGTGGAAACAAGGGAATCCCCAAATAAAGGACCTTCATCATCGGTGAGGTCGTTTGGCCTGGCGACATGATTGATTACCACGACTCAAGCTCAAACAGCCACGGCGCAATGCACAGATCGGCAGCGTGTCGCCGCATAAGGGATTATTGCGCTCAGTTGCATTGGCTTTCGTTGCACGCACCTTTGTCATACTGTGGATGGACAAAATCCTGCACCACTTCGAAACCATGAGAAAGCATTGTTTGTTGGTATTTGCGGGGGAATCAAATCATTCCATTGATTCTTAGGTGGTGCGAAATGGATTTTGTACATCCACAGTAGCACGAATAAGTGGGATAGCTTTTGACATGGGCGCTCGTCTTGGTTGATAAGGGCAAACCCGTTGCGCGTGGCGCAGAGCTCTGAGCAAGACACTTGGCGTTCACAACGTCAATGGTGAAGGCATAGCGCGTGTCCGCCTTGCAACTTGCGAGTCCTATGGCATCTTGGTTGCTGTTGATCCCCCTGCAGAAAGTTTAACTTTTTTGGGGTTTAGTTGAAAACTCCTTGTTTTCCCAAAAAGTTAAAGTCTAAAGATCCAACCCAATAGCAGTCAAGCCAAGAGATTCAATTCTGATATTTCTCCGCTGGCTCTCTACATGCACCACCACACAATAGCCTGATCGAAATCCAGGAGGCCTAATCGCAATCCGTAGCCCGCGTAATCCTTCTTTTGGTTGGCGCACTGCAAACTTTGGGTCAAAACCGTGTGCTGGAGCATGGGGCATCCGTGCATCCCATGCTCCACAGTCCGCAAGCCGTACAATCTAATCCGGACAATCTAATCCGTAAACCGTGCAATCCGTCATCCGCTCATCATTGGGGATTAGGTTTTGAACAAGCTAGCAAGGAGTTTTGGTCAGTTCAATATTGAATCTGGCATAGGGCTAAAGCGTGTCCTTGCATGGGGTGCTCACTTCGCCCCATTCGGGCTCGCAAGTGGAGGCTTTTGACCTTCGTTGCTTTCGTGGGCTCGCCAGCCTCCCAACATAGAGCTCAAAGCGTATCTTACTAGCACAGCTGCAAACACATGTGCCTTGAGCAGTCAATGAACGCGACGAGCACCACCTAAAACAAAACAAGCAACATGAGGAACCCCCATGAAAACATATGGCTGTGGGTGAAAAATAGGTACCCCAAATGGAACCCTGGTAAGTGGCAACATGGACCAAAACCTGCGGTCCATTCCCTGGTTTATTTTTGACCCACACCCATATGATAACCAACACATACCAACAAACCTAGGCTGGAATTAGGACCCCAGCAAAAAGTATCTTTGTTGCCTGGCTAGTGGACAACCAAGGGACCTCAAAAAAGCAACACAAAAAGGGGAGCAAATTCTGGGGAAGCAACGTGAGCCTTGCCGTTGCCCGACCAAAAAGCCGTAGCCCTTCCGCCCGCCGGAATGGCCTGCAAGCCGCTGGCCAGCTCCAGATACAGCCTCAAGAAAATGGACAGGGCAGGGAGCCACTTTGTGATGCGCATTCCCCTCCAACCATGGCTGTTTTCACATATTGCGAATATATAGTGGTTATATTATTGTTAATGTTCATGTTCATTATTATTATTATTGCTATGATTCTTTAAGATATGGCCATAAAGCACGTACCCCCAGGTGACATCCCGATCCCCACTAAAATAGACTAAAATGGGTGGTGCACCTACCCCAAAATGGTACCATTGGGTTTGACCCACAGCCATATTTTTACAATCACCTTTAAACTGCGGGAGGCCCTCAAAACCTTATTTTCTCCTCGGCATGGCGTCTGAATATGGAGTGTCGGCCTTGTGGAGGGCCCATGGCGCTTCCCAAAAACAGACCAAAGCATAAGCTTTTAGATAGCTTGCCACGTGTGCACTTGAGCTCGTGTCGTTGGCCAGGCCCTCGACCGAATCTTCAATTTGTACATTGTCATGAACCGTGTGGAGGCGCGGCACCCAGCTTTAAAGCTCCTGGAAGAAAACACTTCTTGCACCCCAAGCCAGCATCTTTGAGGTGACCCCGAGTATATGGAGCGCACCCCTGGTCCACAAGCAGTATGCACACAGAATGTTGCTCTGGGCCATGCGCATAGTGCTGAACGTGAACATGAATCGCGAGAAACTTGTGCAGCAACTGCAGGGAGGTTACGACCATTCCGATGGGCAGAAGCGATCTTTCGAAAGTGCCGCTTGAGGCTTGGCCATTGCGCAATTCACAATTTAGATGGTCAATGGGATAGCGTTGAGAATAGCAATGGGCAAACATGTTGAGCCACGTCTGGTGGTGGAAGGTTGCTATGCAAGCTCTTGAGAACAGCTGCCCCCTGTTGCTCGTACAAAAACGGGGCTCATTGCGGCCAAACGTTGACTGCTCAGAAACTGGCCGGTCCTTCAGAAGAGCCGCATGCTCCGTGCCCACAGCCCCTCACCCGAAAAGGAAAAGGATTTCATATCCCCAGGGTGGTTGCCCTTTCCAACCCATGGGTTGATCAAAATTCCCTTCGGCCCCCACCCTGGGTAACTTAGAGACATATTACATCTTTTTGGTAGATTTGCCCAATGGTCCCCCATGTAAAGGACCCTTTGATCAACTCCCACATCAGACCGCCCTGCGCTTCTTCTTCCTCAGCCCCGAGCTTGTTGCGATTCACCTGGCTGTTGTGGTCCACGTTGCAGGCGGTGTCGGTGGGCAGCGCGGTGCTGTAAGCAGGCACGTACACCGTCTCCGTGAGCGGGCAGATGTATGTGAACCTCGCAAAAGACAACTGGCGTGGTGCCCAAATGCCCGGAAGCAAGGGACCATAGGGACCATGACCCTACTCACTCCACAAAGCCTTTGACACTTAGAAGGGCGGACGGGCGGATCCATGGCCTTAGCAATACATCCAGGGCTTCGCCAAAGGCGCCACGCCGCCACCCCGGGGTCCAATCTGCTTGCTGTTCAAGCAGTTTTTCCGCGATTTGCCCGGAAACTGGCATGACTTTGCGTGTTGCGATGGGGTCATGTTTTCTTGTCGGGTGGGGGACAGCCAAACTGGGCACACTTCCATGGAATGCAAGCCTACAAGCAGCCTCGCACAGAGACAAACAGCCACAACAGCCACGGCAGAAACTTGAGCCCGTCCGTGGCGCTACTTGTAGGAGGAACTTTGGCTTTGCCTCTCAGGTGGAATGATGAAAAAGGAGCCGCCCCATCCACGGCCTGAAACCTCGCATCAAGAAGAGCCTTCTGAAGCAGCAGGCTGTTTCCCGGACTTAGTGCCTTTAGCAGTGAGTTGCTACCAGCACCCTTTGGAAAAAAGGGGGCCAAAGGCAACTCGTCTAAGGCAACGCTCAGGGAAAGTGACCCGGGACCCGCAAGGATAGGGCTGATCACTAGAACCCCCCTAATCAGAACGGTTTTGAGAACCCTTCCGAGAAGGTTCTGAGAACCTTTCCTGGGTTTTGGTGGCTTCCTGCAAAAGCCACCTTCATGGGCGGAAACCAAACCTCCCGAGCACGCAATATCATTCTGCGTGGGCCAACAACATGCCTTCAATGTTCAACCCGCCCAATTACAACATTGTTCACCATCTTCATGTTAGTCAATCTTCAGTTGAGTCAATTTCGTCATCCGCCTTGCTTCCCGACCGAAACACAATTCTGCCCTCCGTTTTCATCCTGTACTGGTTTTTCGTTTCGTGGCCCTGTTGAATCCATGCAGAAGGGGTGATACCCCCCCCGCCCCCGTCTTCAGTTTCTTGGGAGCCCGGCCCTGGGGGCGCTTCCACCAGCAGCACCGTTGGCACCAGCTCGGTCCTGCGAGGAAACATGTTCTGGCGGTAGGCGCAATTGCCAGTACAAGGGGCGAGTGACGTCAAGATTGCTCCACGGGGAGGAAAACAAAACATGGCCACTATCAGCAGTGACTCACTGCTGCAAGAAACTAACAAGCAAATGATGAACCCGGAAAGGGGAATTGTGACGTCTACCTTCGCTTGCTTGTACATATATCCGGGTCACCACCCTATGACCGTGACATAATCTGGATTCTACTATTCAGGCGCTTATAGAATGCGCCGAAACACGAAAGCTCCTCATCGGACTTTTTGAAACGGAGGCTAACAAAGGAAACTAGGCAGTTTCCAGCCTGCCTTGTTGGAAACATGCTTGGCCCAATGACTATGTTGACCAGCCCGTTAACAAATATGAACCAGTGACCACCTACAAACGGCATGTTCTGTGGTGGGTCAGGGCGACGGTATCCATCCTACAGTTTATCTGAAGGCCTTAATCTTCTATGCATGCAATCGTGTCCATCTCTTCTTGATGCAGCAGCCTCAACACAACTATGAACACTGAACCTAACCAGGGCGGTTCAACGAGACGGCTGTGAGAGGCCTAGCGTGCACGAGCGAATGCATGTCTGCTTGTAGCCTTGGAATCGGAACGCCAGTGCCAGAAGCGCCTCCTTTCCAACGCTTTGGCCAGTCGGGAACGCTGTCCGGAGACCCCCTTTATGGGGTTCCATGTCAGCTTCCGGGGGTGCTTAACTTGAAGCAAGAGGTCGGCCGCCCTCCCCGCGCAAGCTGCGCTGTCCCGGATGCGGTGGCTTGCAAGAAGGGCATCACCTCAGAAAGTGCCTAGCCCTGAGACAGAGCAGGTTGCTTCAACTTATGGGCTAAAGGGAGCTGCATTTTCAACGGGGCTGGGGTGGTAGTTCATGATAGCTTGAAACGGCCCAGTGGCGATGAGAGAAACAGGAACCTGTTGACACGTTTGCCTGTGACAACCAGATGTTTGCTTCTTCTTTTTCAACATGATGTGCGAAGCCACGGGGACGTGGGCGGAAACTGCACAGCCTTGGCGGCGAAGCTGGCTGACAAACGCCTTGGAGCGTGGCCTTGCTTGCCAGTGACCCGTAGCTTGAGCTGCCGAAACGGGTGATTCTCCGTTGATGTCCTTTGCCAACAGCCCAAACAAGACCATCAAGAAACACCCCGAGTGACGCAGCAAGTGAATCTCCTCGGCCAGTTGCAGCCGAACGGTGATCTTGAATCTTCATAAATCGGACATGGGTATGGACAACGGAGCCCTGCTTCCTGGGTGTGGCCAACCATCCCAGCCTCCGTCTGCCCTGCCCTTTCCTGGGTAAAACCAACTTTGCCTGCTGTTTTCGGAACTGCCTTGCAGTGTTGCTCCAAGACCCTGTCACAAGGGCCAGCAACTTGCATCTGGTCTAGTCATTCAAACCTCGGAGCTCGACAAAAACGCACCAAAAAAAAAGGAAACCCTGAGGGACCATGAGCTCGTTGAGCTCGTTGACAGACTCCCTCGGGCTCTCGCGGCCCTTTGCTGAGGGCACCACCTCCGCCGTGGTCTCGAAGACCTGAGCCAAGTTCAAGCCCCCAGGCCTTGAAGAGACCAAGGGTCTGGAAAGCATCAAACGAGGATCTATTCAGGTCCTCCAGTAGAGAGGTTAGAAGAAGGGTACCAACTTTTTTCTGTAGTCTATTTTAGTAGGGAAACTCCCTCCAAAAAAGGGTAAAAGGGCACTACTGGAAAACCTATCTTAGCTTCCTTCTGAGGTCATCTCAAACTCTGGGCTGAGAGGAGACTCGAAAGCGCCCAGTCTCTCGGGATGCCGGAGTGCAGTTGCTTCACATTTGTGCACAGCCCATTTTCCCCGGGAATTTGGACAAGACTTGGCTGGGAAAACGACATTCCTCGAACTGGTGTGAGAAATGGCCATTAACTTTCATGGGGAACCTCCTCAAAAGTGGTCAGTGAACATAAATCCCCACCTAAATTATGTCCACCAAAGGGTCCCTAATCACATTTCATCCCAAATGAGTCTTCCAAAAAGAAATCCGCCACTGGCGGCCCGCTTCTCTACTGCGCCAATTGACTTGCGCCATTGCAGCCCGCATTTGCTACGGCTGCTACGGGGTCGGGGTCTTTCCACCCCTCCCCCAAACAAACCTGGAATCCTGAAAGCAGGCCACCGAAACTGAGGTTCTTCCTGCAAATTCACGTGGCTTCTCAAAGCTGGCTGCAAGAGGTCTATTGCCAAGGCCAAGTGGTGGGTCAAAACCATTGGTACCATTTTGGGGTAGGTGCACCACCCATTTTAGTCTATTTTAGTGGGGATTGGTATGTTCACTGGGGTACGGCATTTTGACCCATGGCCAAGTGACTGCCAGGCATCCTATTACTCTCAGGGGGTGCCCGCCCCACACTGCCAGATCCAACTTCAGCGGAGGCGCAAAGAGGGTGGGGTTCTGCCAGCCCTCCGCCACCGTGTTGAAGGGCTCAACCTGCCGTCGCTTCACTCTGCCGCGCACGGTGTCGGGAAGACACGTGGCATTTCCGCTTTCTGGTGCGGAAGGTGCCCGACGTCACACCCGAATGATCACGTTACACATCAGCACGCTAGCTGAAGCGAACCACTCCTTGCCTCCCACCTGGCGCCTCCTTTGTCATGATGACTTTCGCTTGGATGGCCAGATAGCAGATTCCCGAGGAAAATGAGCAAAGGGAGGGCGAAGAAGCTGTTTGGGCTCCATGATGTTGAATTGACGCAGTTGAAAGCGCTGCAAGCAAACGCCAACATCTGTTCGATGCTAAGGCATCTAAGGCAAAAGTCTTCGTGGACAGCCCCCAGCTCGTCTGCGAGCTGCCAGCATTTCAGTGAAGCACGGAATGCCCTTTCGCCCCAATAAGATCGATGCCCCGAATTTTGATAAAGCAAAAACAAACAATATCATGCACATACACCACTATCACCATGCACGCGCACGGTCCAATGCAAAAAACACCGGGAACCTGTTAGATCGTTTCTGGCAGGCACCAAATCTTTCTGGCGCTCAGCAGAACACGCGGGTGAGGGAATGACCCCTACATCCCCTGTGGTTTCCTTTCAAGGAGAGATCCCCCAGCCCTCGTTCCCTGCTGAGCACCAGCACAAAGCAACCCCCCACCCGACCCCCCCACCCCACCCCCCATGCCCTGGGTCTGGGCGCCGCGCCCGGGTGTTCACCAGGGCCTGGGTCTTGAAGCCGCTGGCGCCCTTCGAGGCGATGTAGCGCCAGCTGTTGGGCGCCGGCAGCCCCGTCCTTCGGTACCTCGTGGGAGCTGGGCTTGGGCCTTTTTTGTTGGCCCCAGGCCTTCTCCAGTGCGATCAACTCGACTAGAGGAGGTTTGTTCAACCCGCAACCTCTTTGTTGCTTGCTAATGTTGCAAGCTGATAGTCCAGCAAAGCAAGAGAGAGAGGGAGAGAGCGAGATATTTATCTATCTAATTTTAATATATAAACAACCCCCCCCCCCCCAAAAAAAAAAAACAAACAAGTCTGAGGCGGCAGCTGCTCAATCCACCACGCGTTTGGCACTGGCCTGGGAAGCGCGGAGAGAGCCCCCGCACCGGATACTTGCCAGCCGATGTGACGGAGACAAACATCAGCTTCCCGCTGGCGACAATGTGGGGATGTGTGTCGAAATCCACGGATGAAACGCACAACTCGCCAGCCCAAACCTGGAAACACAAGGTCACAGCTTTTGGGTGCAGCTGGTGATTTCGCACCTGCCATCCCTGCCATCCCTACCGTCCCTACCGAAAAATCCAATCAATGAATGCGCCCTTTCGTATTCATACTATTTTGGATGTGTTGGGTTGGGGGAAGCTCAGCACAGAGCCCAGGAAATCCACCCTCTGAGCCCCAGGCGTTGTGTGGGGAATTTCCGCGCGAGCAGCTATGCCGTACCTAGAGCCGCAGTCGTGATTTTAAGGTGACTGGCTCATGGCCGCAACAAACTCTTGGGAAATCTTCAGAATTAGGCCCTCCCCTCTAGCCCAAGCCTGCCTGATGTGCAGAAAGTTGCCATTGTTAGGGCGACACTTCTGTCAATCGCAGGTGCATACATGGCAGATTACTTACATCAGGAGCTTCACTGATGATCGTCCTTACCGTCAGCATAATTAATAATAATAATCATCATCATCACATCATCATCATCATCATCATCATCATCATCATCATCATCATCATCATCATCATCATCATCATCATCATCATCATCATCATCATCATCATCATCATCATGATCATCGTCACCATCAACACCTAATGAAGAATGCGAGGAAAAGGGCTAGCACACAGCACGCCCCCAACCTTGCAAGCCAGCGCCTCATGCACCGATCTGAAATGACAGAGGGATCCCATGCGTGGGGCCGTTTGAGACAATGACCCAGTGCAAACATCTCCAGTTTTGCATCTGCAGGTGCCCTGGTCCCGCTGAGAGCCTTGCACCTGGCCCTACATGAAAGACTCAGATCCCTGGTGAGCGATGAAAGGCAAAACTCGCAACGCATCGCGCGACGTGTTTGGCATCCCAACCAATGACCTGCTAGTACCTTGGTTTCACGGCTCCGCCATGAGCAAACACCCACACAGACCCCGCCCGTTCCGCCCTTCAGCCCCTGGCTCAAAGTTGGCTTCCGCCGTGCTGGTGAGTTGCACCACCAGCTCCTGAGGAGCATCGGAGACACCAAACCGCGCAAAGACCCCCTCAAGAGTTGGGATGCTCAAAACTCCGGGTGGAAAGTCTTAGTCTCCCTGGGTGAAAGACCATCCATACCTATCCCAAGTCAAGGCGTATTTTTATCATGGCACAGGTGAACCTTTTGACCGGACCATGCATGGGTGGGGGAAGGGGGGGCGCTCCTTTTGGTTGGTTTCCGATGGAAGCCAGCAGAAAAGAATGCAAAGCCCCGAGCCGCTAGCCCCGCCCTGAGCTCGCGGCATTGGGCGTCTCGTACTCCACGGTGGGGTCTTTCGCGCCCAGCAGGTTGGCTTGAGTCAACGCCTGGCTCGCCCACGCCAACGCCAGGTTTCCGCCTTTAGATTGGAAAGGACTCAAGAACGAATGAGTGTGGTATGGTGCGGTTGTCAAAAGTAGGTACCCAAAATGGAGCCCTGTTAAGTGAAAACATGGACTAACACCTGCGGTCCCTGGTGGCTTTATTTGACCCATATCCAACTACGCCTTTTTTATGCCCAGGGGAGTTTTTTTCCAGGGGACAGTTGGCCGGCATTCCGAGAGGCAGAAGCAGCAGCTGAGGGCATCCAGCATTCAAACGGCCCAATGACGCTTTCGAAGTTGCCCACGTTTGGGGAAGCTTGGCTATCAATTGTTGGGGTGCAGAAAAGCTAAGCTTCAGCACAGCCAAACAGCAGAATCTCAGGTGAGTTAGAATTGAAACCGTGGCCCAGGATGGAATTCCAATCATTCCGAGGCATAACCTGCCAGGCGTGCACTTCCGCACTAAGGCCCCTGCCCCCGCGGTGCTGAACTGAAGATCCGCAGAGTACCACGACACCCCTGTAGGAGCACGAATCCGAATGTAGTCGTCAAAGGGGATGAGCCTGGGAGTGGCATGGCGTTGCGACATGTTGAGGATAAGGGCAACACACCTCCATTTGGAAAGCAACGACCCCCTTTTTGGAGCGTGGGTTAAACGAGGCCAAAGGACGAAACACCGAGGCTTGGGCGTACAAACATGTTATGCTACAAACAGGGGCCATCCTCTGGCCTTTGCTCTCCAACGGTTCCACTGCATGCTTGTGCTTGGCAGCGTGCGTGCGCCGGACAGGGCGGAAAAGCCACCTGCCACCAACTGCCTCCGGCTGCTCCAAGTCTGGAGTTGGCATGACCACTTGTTCAAAGTTAACATTTAAAAAAAACAACGAAAAAACATCACCACTCCGTATCAACCAGCTCCATTCGCATTACCCTTCAGGTCCAAGGCTTGCTTGCTCGCAAGCAACTCTTTGTGGGAGCTCGCCGCCGCGACCGGGCAGAAGAATCAGATCGTATCCGTTTGAAGGCAGACCGTCATTAAACACAAAGGCTTGACAAAGGCGTTACCTCAATACATGGCTTCTTGGGCTGCCACGTGGTTGCTCTCATTCCCTGAGATGGGGGTGGCAAGCGGGCCGTCTTGAACAACTGCAAAAGAAGAAAGCAAAAACAAGCATTCCCTCTTGCTTGTTCTTGAGCTTGCGAGTTTGCTCCTACCTGCCTTCGCCCAATCTGTGCGCCCCGGCAGTGGGGAAATGAAGCGCACGATGATGGTTTGCGGCCCAGGCTGGCCAACGAGCGGCAAATCACAATGGTGCTCTGTTTCCGCAAATTCCTGCGTTTCAATGAGGAGGGGTGGGGCAATTTGCGCAGGCTTCCTTGCAGAAGCAAATTGAAGTTCAGGGCCCAGCAAGGGAAGCAATCTTGACAGGCTCCACGTGTGAACCTGCTGCAAGGTGGCTTTGCGGACTTCGCCAACAACTCGTACGCCCAGGCCACCCGGGAGCATTGCAATCGTGGAGTTGCCCCCTTCGGTGAGGGGCACTGAAGCCAGCAACATAAACAAGCAAGATTGAGAAAGATACAGCTGCCCATCCCAAATTCAAAGCAGAAACACATCACAGGCAATCAGCTTTCCCACGCCCCAAAAAGAAAAAACACATGCCTTCCTCACACCTTACTTCCCTGGCAGCCGCAGACAAAAAACAAAAAACAAGAGCACGTCATTGTTACGTGTCTTTATTGGGGGGGACGCCCATTATCCCTTGCAGGTTGGAACCAGTCGCCACGCGATACCGCACGCATGCTCACCTGCACAAATCTGCGCGGGCCAGGCCTTGCGCATGACCGGGACCACCACAAAGGACGAAAACCTGGGAGGCGTCCGTCACAAAGCCTACCATCGACAACAATTTCCCTAAACCACAATGTGGGAACGGCCCCTTACATAACGAAAATCACGCGGGGTTGTTCTTTCAGCCCACATGGGCTCCACGCATCAAGAGTTAGGTTGGGACCATCCTCAATTACCCGGTGCTGTTCGAAGGACTTGTTCCGGATGTGACGTCAAGAGGCCAAGAGCAGGCGACGTCAGTGAAGCTCCGTCTCCCTGCAAGATGATAGGTGGAGCCACGCCCGCGCGTGCAAATGAGCCCTTGTCCGCTTGAGCTGGCTGCAATGCTGCCCTCGCAAAAGAGAAGAATCGCAGGTTGCCTCAACTACCAAAAGTGGGACAAGTAAATGTGTCATTGCCCCAGGTGTCCTTGACGAAAAACCATTGCACTGGCAAATGATCAGAACCAGAGCCACCGATATTCAACCGAGCGCTAGTGCAAGGCAGGCGGCTCGTAGGGATACAGGAAGAAGCCCTGGGAGCGCGCGGTGTCCTCAGTCGGGGCTTCTTGGCCCGAGCCGCGTTCATTTCTGCGAGGGGGAAATGGGTGTAAATGCTGATTGGAAGTCTTGGTTGGTGGGCAGACATCATTTGGGTCATACTCGAGCCCTGGTATGACAAGTCCCTACCCAGAACCATGTGAAGAATTCACAACACCTCCAATTCCCCGGGTTCTGATTGTGACTCATTTGGTGTTCAAGTCGACCAGTTTGAGGACTTGTTCCATGGGAACTTTTTGCGGACATGTTGCACAAGTGGACATGTAGGACCTCCAAGCAAGGGAGCTACACCCTAGCTGAGCTCGCCTCTCCTTCAGGAGGGCTCGCCGTAGTTGGTGCGAAATAATGCGTGCTGCTTCCCCCGATGCATCGCAAGTTGGCTGACTCAAACAAGGTCACACATAACACAATCGAATCTAAAGCTGAGTGGTAGTGGCTGGTGAAAAGCAAAGGATCACGAGTTTCCTGTTCCCATGCGCGCTTTGGATCGATGGACCCAGCGATGGACGTCATTCTCCCGTTTGATTCCACATAGTGCGACTAGCGTGACCTAATTGACAGGTTGCAGGGCAACTGCCAAAAGGGCCTGCCCGAAAATGCCAACCAGTCACCTAACGGCAAGGCATCGCATCGGCCGTGACTCCGAAACTTGGGCCCTAAAGGCCTAAAGGCGGTGTGGTAGATTGCTGAAACACCCAGATCTACCAGCTTGCTTTGAGGAACAAGATGGATGCCCCAAGCCAAGGGCCACAAGCCCCACCAAATCATATGCCTTCCCGGCAGGTCCCAACCCGTCGGAGCTAGGCACGCGGCCCGTGCCACCCCGTCTGGTCGCAGGGTATCGAAAGACCAAACATTCACATCATCGGCGATATTGTCCACCGGGTTCTGCAACTGGCCGGGCATCAGCTGAACGCGCGGCGCAGGCACCGCAAACGCGAAACAGAAAAGCAGCACGAAGCCAAAGCACACAAAGCCTTCACCCCAACAAAAAGCAATCCTAGCTGCCCAGCAACTCTGGGTTAAAAACAAGGCTTCTGTTGGGGTTGACCACGTGTAGTTTGGAAAGGGATTTGCCACGCAACCGGGAAGAGACTCCGAGCGACCCCTCCCGCACAGCCTTTGGCAAATCGCCCCAACCAGCTGCCCTGCCTCCAGTGAGAATGCGTACTGCGTGCCTGCCTGAATGGCGCCTGAAGCTGCGCAGACATGGGTATGTCAAGGGTAAATAGGTACCTACTCCGGGGGCATCTGGTTTATTCCTTAGCATCCCGCTTGCCAGTCCTACCAGATTTTTTGGCAGGGCCAAACCTCTTCTGAGCCAAAACGCAAACCTGACTGCGCAATCCATACCACAGAGGAACCAACAACTGAAACAGAGAGCTGAGACGAATTGTAACGTGGTGGCCCGAAGAAAGCAACACGAACTCAATCTTACCACGCCATTGCGCGGGAGAGCGCCTAATCCTGCACACAAACGTGGCAGTCCATCCCCAGGTGGAACATCACAATGCAAATGGTCCCACGTTCCACTAGGCGAAATTACTCAGGTCCCGTTCATGAATCATGGCTCTTGTAGTTGAAGCACATAGTTGCAAGGGTTCCCAACGATGCCTTGGCATAGGTGACTCAAGTGACAAAATGAAGATCAGATTGAAATTCTGGTGAAAGATGATGAAATTGAAGGCCATCCCCCAGCAAGCTCACCTGGGCATGTGTCAAAAGTAGGGACATCCTCTGGCATGTTTACTCAAAAGGGCACAACAAGGGCCAACATCAGGTCTGAGGGTGCACCCCTGAGGTTGCACTCCAGAATCCTGACAAGTCATACCCCATTTGGTTCGGTATATCGTCTATACACGGCCATGCTTTTCTCCAGGGTTGTGCTATAAGATATTTGGGGTACGCCCTCAGAGAAACACGTCTGGGCAGACTTCCCCCTGGGAAAAAAACATATTTCCAGTAGTGATAGATTCCCTTTAAAACCGAAAAAAATATCTTAATACGCGGAATGCATAAGGACCTTCATCAGTGAGCCCCGACCCCTGAGCTCGCTTGAGGTCCAGCCTGGCTCGCTGAAGACCAGCTCGAAGGAGTTGGAGTCAGAGCCTGGCAAAGCATCTTGGCCTTCCAAGGGGGGAAGGCCACAAAAAAACAGAAAGGAAAAAAAGAAAGACATACAGAAACACGCCAGGGCTGGAGAAGTGGAGAAGGAGGCTAGCTCTGGACTGAACTTTTCCGCTTTTTTGGCTCTTAGGTTGGAGCTCTGTGGGCACCTTTGAGAAGCCCTCTGAGGAAGTTGAAGCTTAAGTCTTGGCGTTTGCTGAGGCTTTTGGCGGTTGGCGTTCTTTCTTCCCCTTGCAGCAAAAGAAGCCGATCCACACCAGCAAAAAAAACAAAACGGCGGAGGCGGAGGGCTGTGAAATGATGGGCTGAGAAGAATCACACTTCGTCACCATCTGTGGATCAGGTAAAGCATAATCAAGCAGGGCAGAACATCCACAAACAGCCTTCAGCACAGCAAGCCTCGCAGAGACTCGCGGACTGCATTCTGCGAGGGCAAAGCGCAGCTTAGGGCACATCCCCATTCGGTTGAAACGTGAGAGGCACACATCCCCATCGGTAACAGCGATCGGCCGGCCGGTTCCGCAATCCAGCCTATGCATTCGCACACCGGCAGCTCAATCCGCAAGAAACCGGAGCCTGGCACATAAGCTCGGAGAGAGGGCCCTAGGGCATGCAGGAAGTCTCTTGCCCATTATCTTTCATTTGGTTTAAGGCCCCGGGAACAAGTAAAGATACTTCCAGCAGTGATGAATTCCTTTTAAAACCAACAAGGGAAAAATACAAAGTATTCTTGAGCAAATGGAGGTTTTTTGCTTCTCGTGCAAATGACAGTTTTGGCGGGGATGGATGCAAGGGTGCGCGTGATGGCCATGCCCCTAGCAAAGTGCCCGTCCATGTCCGGCGCCCTAAGCCCTGAACCCTGCAGCCAGGAGCGGGTCACCCTTTGCCAACATCAACAAGTCACTCGTGGGAAACGCTCGGCGGGCGGCAATAAGCCTGTCTGTGTTAGCAAAGTGGGGTGCCTCTGCTGCTAAAAGGGGTTTCCTGGATAAGGATACCCTCCCCCAGGCTAACACAGAAGCTCCAAGGACCCCTTTGGAAGACTTGTTTGCAGTACGCAGGCCTTCTGGGAGCTTCAACGTTGGTCTGAGGGAGTGGGATAGGCAAAGCTTGATGTCTCAACCACTTTGGGTGCTGTCGTTCGCGGTCAGGAGCCAACTTGGGCTTGGGTGAATCAAATCAGCCATGATAAATCTACAACCTGAAGTCAGGGACCCCCCCAAGCAATGAACCTTATTTAGGTTTTCGGTCACCAAACAACCGTTTGTGAGGTCGCTAGAGCTGAGTTGCTCAAAATCAGGGATTCGTAGTCCTAATATACAACCTCTAGTGCGACACCAGTATAAGAATCAAGCAATGCTTTTGCCATGAGTCCCGGGCATCTCTTCAGGATCACGAAGCCGGGCGGGGCCTGGGCGCATTTTTTCTGCGCCCGCCAAGCCCTGATCAACGGAAACCACGAGGAACATTGGTCTACTTGAGCACATGGAAGGCGACAAAGGAAAATGACAAAGCACACGCCCTGGGCGAATCAGAGCAAAGTTGTGTGAAATTCGGAAGCCACCCGGCGCCATAGCAGCAAATATCTCTGTGGCCGCTGCCAGCACGCGAAGCCGAGTATTTGGGACGTTGCCAATGGGCTGCGAGGGTATGATGTCGAAGCGGATGTTGTTGATACCTTGCCGAGGCCAATAGCTGGAAAGGTCAATTCGGACCCAAAAAGAAGTCAAACAGCCACACATTGATGAGCATGAGGAAATTGCAGATAATGAATTGCAGATAATGAATTGCACATGAAGGGCACCGGAGCGTCCAAGGATTGGACATGTGAATCGTGGGGAGGCATTGTCTCCCCCCCTACAAAAGTGTGTTACGGAGTTGGGGATGGCTTTTTGGTGAGCTTGGAGATGTTGAGCATTCTGAGGCAGGCACTGCCCAGTAGCTGGTTCTCTTGGGACAAGGCCGCCTGCATCGGCCCGGACCTCAGCTTCAGCTCCCACTCATGGGCTGCACGTTTGCGAAGGGGACGCTGATGGGCCCTGCTGAAGTATTCTTCAACCCGTATTGTAGGTATACATGCACGTTTTTGCATATGGGTATGTGTCAAAAAAAAAAGGCCAACACCCCAAACACGTGATGTCCCTTTTGGCTTCTCTTTAAAACACAGCCAAGAGCGGGTACCACCAAACTCCCCGCCCCCAATATAAACGTATGTTTTACCGCGTGCTTTCAACAGTGGGGCGCTGGCCCCGCCACGCGCGGCGCCCGCCACCCCGAGCCTCGGCCCCTGGCACTTCCATGCCTCGAATACCACGAGTGGCGGCAACCTGAGGTCGCGGACGGCGCATTTGGGTGGCAAAGGTCGAGGGTAGGTGGCTGTGGGTCAAAAATCGGAACCCAAAATGGAACCCTGGTACATGGAAACATGGACTAAAACCTGTGGTCCCCTGGTGGTTGAATTTTGACCCATACCCAGGTGCTCGTCTCGGAAGTTGTAAGGGAACCACAAGAAACACCCGCAATTTTGGGGTCCACTTTTTTCCCATGCGTCCCAAACAGGCACATCCGAAATCAGGGGTAGCCTATTTGGCGTACCGACAGACAGAAACGGGAACCAACACATTCAGAGGTCCGCATGGGGATCGACATATTTACACAATGCATACTGTAGCTGGTGACGAAGTCTAGGTCGATCGTAAGAAGCTAAACTCGAGCAGGTCAAAGTAGGCTTGGGAAGTCTTGTTGAAAGCAGAGCGCATGCATGCACACGGTGTTAAACGACATCCTGGCATGGCAAGGTCGCTCTGGGCAGTTGATTGATGCGCCCCAACCCCTTGATGGCCGAACAGGAGGGGGAACGTCCAGAAACGTAAGATACATGTATCCACATTTATTGAGCATGTAACTTGGCTGCTTTTACATGCTTACATACTGCCAGGCTACCTTGGGCTGATACACCGGCATCGGGGTCAGCAGCTTGCATTTTTCGGGGGGTGGGGGGAATGGCAAGATTTGGTTTCCCAGGAGGACATGTTGGAAGCCTGTCCGGGGATGGAGGGACCCACGGGGGGGAAAGGCGCACCTTCAAAATGCCAATTCTACATTTTCAGACGTCCCCCGCCTCAACCCACCCAGGACAACCCATTGTTCAGCCATGCCCGCCCCTGAACATGAAGCCAACAAGGGCGGGGAGGACTGCGCAGCCTTCCAGCTGCCATCTGTGATTGCGGAAATCGTTGACCGTGCTTGACGGTGCTGTGCGTTCTTTATGGTTCTCTCTGATTTGCTGCATTGTGCAAACCGCATAGGTACTTCAGGTTGGCCTCAAATTGGTCAATCTCCGGTTGGTTTCCCATTGCAGTAACCAACAAACCGTCCCAAACACACTCCCATATTCAGCACTGTCGCGGAAGTCATTTGGGGGAGCTGACTCCACGCAAACTCTTAGTTTTTCCGGGTTCCATGCCTATCTGCGCAGAATTAAAGAAGCATGTCAAGGCAAGTTCGCAAGGCTAGCCATGCCCATGCCGAGTCGAGCCCGCTGCTGGCTTGGACGCCTCTTCCTCCCAAAGCTCTACCTTGCGACATTGGGCCAACGGGACCTGGAAAGACAGCTCCCTTCGGGTAGGGGAACAAACCAAGTCCAACGGGGTTGCGCCCAAGCTTCTTATGGGAGACCATCCTGCCCAAGGTTTGCCAGGCGGCTGAAACGGATCAACGCCTGAAGAAATGGGCATCAAAAGCAAAACAGCTGGGTCACAAAAGATAATGGTAACGAAGCCTTCCTTTCCCGGTCTTCACCTTGTTGCTCTCAGAGGGTTAGTCAGGCTCCCTTGGCCCTTCTGACTTCTGGCTGCATTTATCTGGTCTGCCTCGTGTTGGATGCTTCTTGCCAACCCATAACATGGGTGGCGGAACCTTTGGACCAAAACACCCAATCTCAACTCTGCTAAACAGAAGTGGGCCAAACCCCGGGAAGTCTTTGTTTTCATGCCACACCTCTTGGATTGGCAGGGCGCTCCCCCACTCACGAATACAGAGTCTGATTTGGCTAAATTGTGTTTGGAAGCATTTCTAGCAAGTCCCGGTGCCGGTGTTCAACAACAGGGTTTCACCCAAAGACCGGCGAGAAAACAACAATCACACTGACCAAACAAGCAGGATGATGGTCGGCCTGTGCTTGTTTGTTGTCCTGCCATGTTCAAACTAAGCCAACTAGGAAACCGGAGGACCCAGAGGATATACATAATTGCTTCCTGCATGGTCATATGCCAAGTCCAAGCCAAAAGAACCGACAGAGCCCTTCGAGCGCTCTGAGCCCCCGAGCCCGCCAGGACCTCGCGGCCCCGGGCTCCGGGGGGTTTTGCACCTGGCGGATGTCTAGCAGGTCGGCCCAAAAAAGGGAAAGCTATGCCCCCGTCTCGCGCCGCGGCTTTCGCCCGGCGCCAGTTGGGAGGAAGGGAAAGCTATCCCCTCCCTCCCCCCCTGCGAAAGAGAAAAAACATGACGTGCAGGCACTCACAATGGCGTGGTGCAAGGAATTGCCGTGAAGGCTGGCAACTGCGATGTGGTGATCCATCGTGCCTTGAGCCGCACACCGTAGGTGGTCTCTTTGAATGGCGCGGTGTCGGCCAAAGGGCAAACCCAGCGCCTCAGTGCGCTCGACATGCGGGCATCTGCAATGTGCCTGCTGAAATGGGCCACATGCTTCTAATGGGCCCAAGCTTGGCAAACGGTCAGCCAAACCCGCCTCCCAACAACTGCTGTTGGCCCAGTTTACCAACTTTTCAGGGCCACATGCGCATGGAGCCGATGGCCACGCCCCAAGCAACATGCGACATCGGCTGTGGTCTCTAAGGCTTTGGCCCCACCAGGCGGTCTGCCTCTGGCCACGACCTGAAGGCAACGCCCGGAAAGCTAAGGCTGCCACAAAAACAAACTGTGCAGTGCTGGAACTCGAATGTTTAAAAACATGTGGGTAAGAGTCATATGGAAAATTCGGCCAAACATACAACGAGATTCAGCTGAATATCTCCAATGCACCACAATCAAAATAATACAAACTACTTCCTGAAATGTTTGGAGTAGTGCACTTGCCGGAGACTCGCTTCTCCCATTTAGAGACTTGTGGGCCCTACAGTTGCACACTTTGGCGGGAAAGGCAAGATGCCTTCAAGCACTAGCCTCTTGAGTTGCATGACTTCAAGCAAAGGCTTCTTGGCAGCCATCCGGGTTCTCAACGCCAATATGAAGAGACCAACACCCCTCAGCCAACTTTTGGCCGGATGCGGTTGAAACTCGGGCAGGAAAGCAAGCTGAGAGCAACCAATCACTTCAGTCTGGACGACCTTCTGGCCTTCCCCCCGGCCGCCATACCCTGCGGCTCCGGGCGTGCAGGGCAGCTCGTTGTAGTCGGCTGAGGGCCTGAGCCAATGTCAACTTCAGTTTGCCAAAAGGAAGACCATACCTTGGGGGATAGCCCCCTTAGTGGGACCTCAGTTTTCTTCGGGAGATTCCTCCGAGATATTCAAGCCGACCATCAACCGCGCAGGGACAGAATACCAGCATGTTCAGGAGTATTGCCTGGCTTCCCTGAGAAAAATGCAAGTCTATGGCCCGAAACGGGAGTTTTTTGTAGCAGAACAAGCGCCTGCAATGTACGCAAACACACCAAATCCATAATTATTGGACAACGGAGTCGCTGAACATGGGGGAGTTTTTCCCAGCCCTGCCAAGCTCAAGCCAAAGGTTGACCATGAGCCTCCATAAAGAGCGTCACATGCCTTTCAAGCATGAACATGGCCCGCTCGAGCAGGGACAACTCAATGAATTGCTCTTTGAAAAGAGGCGCATCCAAATGGCAGGCTCTCAAAACAGAAAAACACGCCTACCTTCGATGCATACCTTCAAGGCCAAATCACCGGGATCAAACAAATGCGAGCCTTCCTTTCTGTCATCCCAATCCCTACCTATTTGGGGCCCCACGCCCAGATTGCAACAACATATTCTCAAAACCAAACTGAGGAGTACGGAGAAAAAACGGATGATGTGATCCTTTAAGTGACATGTCACTGGGCTTCCCTGACAGCTGCGGGGCCGCGCTGGCCACGATGGTGAAAGTGGAAGGCGGCAAAATGACGATCATCCCCGACATGGTCTTCCCAGGCCTTGCGTTTTAGCGCTGGCAACAAAATGCACTTCCCTTTCTGTGTCGGCGTGTCAGTATTCGGTACACATTTTAGGAAAAATCCCAAACCCGGCTAGCATGATTTGATATGATTTGCACACATTGGAACATATGCCGGTTGCTTCTAAAACCAAGGGGTTCTTCGCGAACAGGACCTTTGTGGGCGACTTACACCGAAAGCGGAACAGACATGGTTCAGCTGACTTACTTGCAGGAATTGCAGTGAACGACTGCCAGTTGTCCCATTCACTTGAAACCAAACAGTGTCCTCGTGAGAAGGGCAGGGTGAGGCAAACAACACAGAACAATCAGAAACCGCAACAGGCCTTTAAGCCCTTAACATGATGCCCTGATAAGTTGTTTGCTCTAAATCGTGGTGCAACACAGGGCGACATGCACTCCCATTCATACAAGAAAACATTTAGAAACCAAACATAGGAAACCACACATAGACGCACGAAGTAAATCCTGTTCCTTTTGGTTGCAACATGCAAGGCTTGGCTCAAAACCATGGAAGAGCAGTTCAGGTTCCAGTTGACTAAGTTATGATGGCCTTCACACTTATATTCACGGAACCTGGCTGGCTATCACGTTCCTTCTCCAACGCCACTAGTCAACTTGCACGCCCCCTTTCCAGGGAGCTGGAGCTCGAATCCTCAAATGGGCTCATGGGACCCACATGAGCCAAACCCGTGCTGCCTTCCCAAAGCACTTGGAACGAACACGCCGGCACTCCCCCCAAAGCCTTCTGGACCCCTGAGGATTTCAAGGCCAGGCCAAAGGTGCCCCAAGGTGCCCCAAGACCCTCGGATACTTGAGAAAAAAGAGGCGCATCCCCTACCCCTCGTTGGTGCTTGGGGCTGGCTTACGACGGCAGTCGCTTGCTCTGAGGGATGCACATCACCGTGTTGCCGGGCATGAACTCCAGCACCACCTCCCACGGTTTGATTAAACCATGCGCTGCCAGTAGCCAGGAAAAAAGAGGCATGTGCCTCTGCTTTTGGCTGGAAGCGTATTTTGGCTGGAAATTTGGAAGGAGATCCCATCCAAAATAGAAAATACAACACGGTCGCTGGAAGAGCGACGACACGGTGGCCGTGCTTGTCCATAATAGAAGGCTGCACTGAGATAGATGCCAGCATGGCATGCATTAGCACCAAGAGGCTATCGCCAGCGAATTGCCCATTGGATATGCTCATCTGTTTACCCGTGAGATTGCGGTTTTCCAAGGGTGGCAAAGCCTGAACCGGAGCACACGGGATTTGTTGGAGAAAGGAGCCCTTGTCATCCATCTGCCTGCAAAGCACGTGCACGCCCGCAGCAAAACCTGGTCTGCCTACCAAGGGATTCCCCAAAGGATCAAACGGCCTGGGTATCTCCCGGCCTAGACCTGTCGACTGCTTGACATTAAGGGTTCACCTGCTGCATTTGCTTCCTGATTGAATTTTCGCACTCGCCACTTTGGCTCTGGTGAGACGTCACCTGCAGTGAGGCGCATCAATTGCGTCGAACATGCACATGCCACTCCCGACTGATCTACGATGTTTAGCATTGCCCTTACCTTTGTCGGACAACGCGCCCAGAATTGCCAAGCGCAATTAACCCAAACTCAGCTCACAAAGCGGCCAGACTCCCACTTGCCAACAGAGCACTCACCAGCTGCGGAGGTGTGTGTGCCTGTGCCATGCTGGACGCCCTTGGACCATTGCCCTTCATAAAGCCCCCCATCTGGCCATCGCATCATTCCTTGGCCATGCTTCTGGTTGTCAAGGTACTGGCCGGTGTAAACCCGGCCATCTGGCCAAGTGAAGCAGCCAGCTCCACTCATTCTGTCCTGAGCACGCCGACCCGCCAGATGTCACGGTCCAAACTGAGATGGCAATCTTCCAAGCGGTGGGGTTGGAACACCATTCTATAGCATAGTTGGTTTTGGAAAAAGAGTCTGCAAGGGGGATCTATCGGTCACTATGATGGGACAAACGCGCGACCCGGGCATTCGAAATAGACCCAATGCGTCCTTGGCCCACTGGCCGCTGTACTCCTTCCCATCCGACCAGCGGTAGACGCCCTCCCCGTGCAGCGTGTTGCTGTCGAAATTGCCCTCATAGCTGGAGCCTAGGCGGCCCAAGGGGCATCGTGATTCTCAAGCGGGCCTCCCAGCATCATGAATTACAGAGGGTTTGGAAGATTGCCATGATTTACAACGGCACTTCGCAAGCGATGTTGGTTGCCAGGGAGCCGTCTGGCCAACTCAATTTCCCCTTGCCGCTCTTCTGACCTTCCCGATGTTGGCCTTCAAAGCGTGCCCCGTCCGGCCACAGCTCCACCCCCTCTCCGTGCTGCTTATCATTTCGCCACTGGCCATCGTAGCTGGCCTCGAGTGGCACCATGGCCCCACCAGTCCGCCCCCACACAGTGAGAGCTCTCGAGTTTGCCCGCCCCCCGCCCCCGACAGTCAAAGCAGTGGAAAGTGTTGGGAAGCCAAATCATTAGTGGGGAGTATTGGGATTTGTTTCCAGGGGGTGGATGAAGATGGTGCCCCCAAAGTGCCCACTCAAGATGGGGCCTTTGGGCATGCCATGCATGCCTTTGAACGACTGCGTGCCCTATGGTTTTGACAGATCTAGGAACTTGATGGCTTGCGCCCAGGACAAAAACATAAATTCTGAAATGTCAGATTGGAAGGGCTTAGATTGACCACAAAACATAAACAAACCCTGCCAAGTCATATTGCCATGTTCTCCATGCAGCCCCCTTTCACGCCAAGCAAACGGCCCCCTACTCTCTTTGATCACCACGTGGTTTTGTCCCACGCGTTCCTGGTCGAAATGTCTGTAGCTGCCGTGGCCGTGGGCTCGGTCGGACCTCCACTGCCCCTCGTAGATGCCCCCGTTGGGGAACTGGAAGATGCCCTGCCCGCTGGCGCGGTTGTGCTCGAATTGGCCCTCATACCTGCCAAACCGAGCTCCAAACCGAGGGTGAACCTGCGGGTTTGATCAAATGCTGCTGGACTAAAACAGAGGGATCCTCGAGGGTAGAAGCTGTTGCTGTTCCTGTTTTCTAAGGGGACAAGGTGGGAACATGCATGGATTGCCAGCGTTTGCCAGGCTGGCGAGATTCTTGCACCCGCGGTTTAAGCACTTCACCCATGGCTGGTATCCATGGTGCGCTGCTTTTTACTGCTATTTCAAGGGGCACCAAAAGGCTACCATTTAAGAGCTCTGCTTTGATTAGGTGCAAACAGACGGGTCTGGAACCGCTAACAACTAGCCATTCACATTTGGTTTCCCGTCAGGTAAATTGACAACTATGATTGCTAGCTGGCTCTGAATTTCAACGGGGAACCAGCTCACAAACTCACAAGTGGTTGATTGAATCCCCACCTAAGTGAAGTCCACCAAAGTTGCAAAAGGGTCCCCTATTCAAAATCACCCAGTTATGGTCGCTATTTTCAGCTTCCCTCTAATTGGTGCTTTGGAGCCCGGTGGTTTGGACGTGTGCTGGGGGTGGTTTCCCATGTACCCTTTACAAGAACCAGGGGCGTTCAAGTCCAAATCCAAACCACCAATTCAGGGTTGCCTGACATTTGGCACACACTTGCAAACTTGCTGGGGTCTCAGCAGGGGATGAGGGAATGACCCCGAAATACACCATCCCCTATGGTTTTTCCTTCATTCCGGTTCATTCCCAACACCCGGAAGTCATTCCCTGCGCACCGGCAAGAAAAACACCCATGCAGCCTGACACGTGTGGGGGGGCCCCCCGTGCCCGGCGACCACCCGCCCGACCGCCTGCCTGGCGCCGTTCGGCCAGGTCTGCACACCCCGGCCGTGGCGTTCATTGCCCAGCCACTCCCCAGCATACCGCTCCCCGTTCCTCAGGTCAGACGGCGCAAAACCTGACTGGGGAGTCCCTTTCACATTTCCCGCGACCTTAAACTTAGTCCACTTTGGTTTGCCTTTAAGTCAAAAACAACAAGGTTCCAAAACATAAACCCACATCGGAATGCCCTCCAAATGTTGGGGGCATTACTTAGGTGCTTGCCCTGTGTTTTTTCCCTCAGAGCAAGCCTAAGATGAAGGGGCAAAAAGCTGGACGCTCTGAACCGTTCCGCCTTTTTGGGGCCGAGGGCCCAGGCAACAGGCTGACCAAGATTGACCAAGCCTTTTCATCTCCCCTTGCAAGACTGGTTCCAAAGAGGCCAAGGAACCGGTTCCACGGACGAAGGTTTGGAAGGAAGCTGGGCCGACAACCCTTCGGGCATCAAACCAAGGAATACTTGCAGTTCCAAGGTTGGCTCAGGCAGATTTCAGGCTGGAACAGGCATCATGATCCAAACAATTGAAAAGGCAAACGCCACACGCGCGGAGAGCCTAACCAACGGCCACGCTGCCTCGGACTAAGTTGGCGTGCCGCGCTGGGCACATTGCTGGTGGGTCAGCCATAGCCAACACCAAATATCACAACAATATAATGACTTGGAAGCACCACGTGCTGTTGAAGTATTGCCGAAGTGCTTGCCATCCTGATACTACAAACAAAACACCACCTGCATGCCAAGCCACCAACCCAATCCTAACCAGGCCAAGCAAGCCATGCGCCAAACACAAGTTGTGGCTACAAACTCACAAACCACTATTGTGCGCAACTCCAGAAATGATCGGAGTAAGGGTTTGTCCAAAAATCGGAACATGTGAAGTGCGCGTATTCCAAAGGACCACTGCGTAGAATGGAATTCCATGGAACCTTGCAGAAGACCCTATTTATGTTGAACGGAGCTTGACTGGAAGGCACATGATGGGCACTGGCTGCATGATAGCTATTATGATAGCTATCTATTGGATGCATGGCCAAGGGTTACCTCCTTGGTAGGCAGGGTCCATTCTTTCTCCACTAAGGCCGACAAAGCAAACCGTTGCAATACGGAACAAAATCGAGGTTAGAGCCCCCAGAACTAGTTTGCTGTGGCTCAAGGTCGCCCAAGAGCCGCCTAAACGCCGGACCCGTGCTGAGCGTCTCATAGAAAAACTCTGGGCGCAGCTCTGGGATCTGTGCCTCCTGGCGCCAACCAAAAAAAAAAAGCACGGGCCGCCCGGAAGGGTTAAGCAATCTGGGCTGCCCGTTTTCAGATCCCCCGCTAAAAGTGACTCACTTTTAATGGGTTAAATGGAAACTCCCCCTAACACTAAAAGGCTAAAGAGCTAAGGGGATGGCTGGGAGCCACCAAGCAATGTTTACCATGGCTTACTAAGGTCTGATGGTTAAAGCCAAAATAAAGAGAAGGAGGCCGAAGGGGGTTCCACTCTTTGGAGGCCTTGACAGCCCTGGGAAAGCTGGGCGGCCCTTCCTAGCCCACGCATTGGGAATTCCCCGCGCTTGTGAACCAGGAATGTCTACATGGCAATCCAAACACATGGCAACCTAGCCCAGTCCAAACAAACCAGGAACCTCGAAATAGCAAGGATTCAGGACAAACTCCTTTCGTGCACCTTGCACAGATACACAAACCCACCTCAAGCAAAGACTCTTGCAGGCCAGCTTGCGGGAAAATGGCCTCCTTCGATCCAGCCCATGTTGACTGCTTTGCCACGCGAAAGGGGTTGCAAAAGCGCGGAAATCGGGAGGCTGTGACCCACGAACTTCTATGAAGCTGGGAGATGCAACAAGTTTCGATTCTATACGGGCTTGCTGCGTTACTGGGCAGCAGCCCCCCTTAAGCCACCACAGTTTACATGAGAATTGCAGCATGAGCGGTAGTCATCACAAGGCTCCGGCACAAATGCAGCCTTCTCGTGCTTAAGAGCTCAAGACAGGGAGTGCTTGTTGACTTCTGCGGGCGAAATGCAAGCACCCCTCTGCACTTTGAGAAGCTCATAATATGAGCAACTGACCAAAATGAGTGGTGTTCTTCCACTGGTTCGGGAAGGACATGGGGGACAACATAATCCACCAACATGAAGGCAACACACCCCAATTTATTGGAGATCAAGTACTCTTGTGTTCCAAAATGAGGGCAACACCCCCAACTTATTGGAGATCAAGTAATTACTCTTGTATGTGGGCCACGTGAAGACTGGCACCCACCCACCCACCTCTCGCCCTCGGCCCTGGGCCTCTGAGGGGCCTTTGCTCTGCGACACCGGCGCCAGGAAGTTCAACTCGGTGGCCGTGCAGTTGGACTCGCAGACCTCCTTCGCCGAGCACCGCTGGGCGTTGCAGCTCCAGAACATCACCGGACCATGGGGCAGCTAATGCAAGAGAGTCCCACTACTGCTATCCACCCCTCGGTTGCGCCCTTGACGTTTTGCAGGTGAATCATTGAATGGTGAGCGCCCTGGGTTGTGGACCAAAGGGCGTCAGATTTGTTTCTTGCCATGCGCTCAATCTCGGAACCCCTTGAATTTGCTTGCGCTGAGCCTGACGGCAGCGGCGCGGGCGACGAGCTACCTGAAACCGGCTTGCCCACCGACACACCCGCAGCCGCCCGAGCCAGCCCCTGGCAGCTGGCCGAGTCCAATCCATCAACCCCACCCGAGTTGTAACCCAATGGGTTGTTTAAGGATTGCCTTTCAACAATCCAGCTTGGCTCATTTTTAGGAGCGAACGTGGAAAGTGAGAAACACACACCACCAGGCAGACTTGACGCCCCTTGCCCCTAGCACCTTTGGTAGGCGATTGGCTACAAGGGGATATGAACAAATCGAGCCGCTTTTCTCAGGTCGTGCACTTAGCTCACAGCAACCCTGTGCCTTGCTCTTTCCACGCGTGTCTCGCATGGCGCTCAGGCCCTTGCCCACTGCTCCACGTTCACGTCTCCGCGCTCGAACCTGCCAAGTAGCTGCACATCCTTTCGGAGAAGGATCTTTCAGGTGTCATTGGCGCACTTTGTCCATGGCAAAGGGTCAACGGATGGGAGTCGATCCCTATTTTTCTAGATCCCAGACCCTAAACTGGTTTTCAATTGGTTGTCGTGACTGGTGGCTGAAACTTGGAACTCTAATAGAAGGGAGAGCTGAGCATTCTGCATCAGGTAGTGCACTGCACAGGCAGCAAGCCAGGTTTTACAGGCATGCTGGGTGACGCATCCGCAAGGTTCGTTCGGGATTTACTGTACAAACTGGGGCATCCTAAAAACGTACCACTTGCGCTGGTGTCTTGCAGCGTTGCCCGTGGGAGGACAGCTGGCCACAGCCAGTCCTGTTGGCCTGCTTGGAAATCTCATGGAGCCGTACCTGCTCCTCAACAGCAACAACCCCAAGAATACAGCTTGAAGCCGGGTGCTCCGGCTCCACCACACCCACACCCCTGGAACAAATCATTGCTCCTGCGCCTGTAGGCCCAACAGGTATCTGTCATGCCGAAGATGTGTTGTGTTCGTCTCTAAATGGCTCCCCCACCTCCCTCCTCTCCCCGCTGCTTACCAGCCGGTTTGGGCCCACAGCCGAGTCCCCGGCGCAACAATCTGCCCCGTGGGCGTGCCCATCACCTGCAAACCAGCAACCCGGCGTTGGAGTAGCCCTCGATCCCAGCCCAGCCTCCTCTCTCCTGTCTTTTTTCGGTGGTCGATTGAGAAAACTCTTTGACAGGTTAGCCATTGTGATCAGGGCTTGGCCTCGAGCCAAAGAAAACGCAATCGCCCTGAGAAACTGCAGGTCCTTCAATGCTCGGAAAAATTGAGCTGAGGACCCAAACTAGCAAAACAAACACATTCTGGTGGGGGGGCATTGCGGACCCAGGGTGGCGTGTATGTCAACTCACTTCAGACATGTTTCAAACTCACTGGACTTTGTTTCACCTGGACATTGGACGCCCTTCTCCACGTACACGCTGTAGGCGGATAGCTTTCAAAATAGCGCGGCTTCTCCTGGCTCTCCTCTCCATTCTCTAAGCTGCTGGCATTGATAGGCTTGTCGATGAACACCGTGTAGGGCTCCACAGGCAGCTGGTCCTGCTCAAAAGATGGCATCACTCTTCCGGGTAGCCCAGGGATCTGAGAAAAAATGAGAAGGCAAGCCTGGCCAAAGCTTTGGATGAGTCCCCCAATGAGCGCCGGCCCCCTTTCACACATCCAATGGAAGGCGGTCCTCGTCAATCCGGAAGGATGTGGCAGTCCAGTACCTTGCGCACCCGCAGCTATGGAGTTCCGGAATGTGTCAAGAAAGTTCCCCCCTAAAATCGCGGAATTCTTTTTGACCTCCCTCTGAACCAACCTTTCGGCGGATACGCTCCAAAACAAAGCACACACACACACACAAACACACATTCCGAAACTCATGGCCCTGTCGCTTGATGGCCTGAAGACGGTTTAAGCCCACCCCATCTTTGGGCGAGTTCGGTGCGGCACATGTTCACGGACACCATGGGGTTCCGGATCACCCTCGGCAGGCGGAGGTTCGTATCCAAGGCTCATGCAACAGTCACGCAGCACCCCTTTCACAGGCATCCGCTCTGAAACGCCCCAAGGTCGCATGACTTGAATGCCTTGTCCATTCGAAATGCCAGCAGCTTAAGGGTCGGGCAGGGAGAACTCCGGAGTAGATGTACTGCCCAAGTTGATCATGGGAGTAGTTCCTTGGCAGCGATCGCGGACAGGCTTGCACCACTTCCGTGGACAAAGGTATTCAGCAACAATTGAAACAAAGGAGGGTGTTTGGGGCCAGTGCCATAGCCGTGGGCCCAACGGCACGCTCATGATGGCTCATTCAGCGCAACCACAAAAAGCACGAGCAGCCTGGCCTCCGTAGGCCAGTGCCTATGAAAACCTGTTAAGCTTGCCAAACTATGATGCACATCTTGCACATTACTTTCACTCGTTAAATGGCCTTGCCAAACATGTTTTAGTCCAGAAGCTGCGGGAGTAAGTGTTACTTCTCCTTGCACCTATAAGGCTTCAACCCATATGTTCCCAATGGGCAAAGAAGGCTGGCAAGGCCCAAAGTCCATGTCCCCAGTTCACGCATTGGGTGCCAGAACCCTTCAACTTTTCCACAAAACACCTACTCCCGCATACACGCAGCAACCGCCTGGTGCGTGTCGAGTTAGATCACGTTTCACGCCAAGAGCGCTGCGTGTGGAAAACGGGGCCCGGAGCTTACCGCTATTTGCCACGGTGCTGATCTTCAGCTTGCGTTTGCAGAAGGGGGGCAGCCGCAAATTGTGGGTGAGACGGCTGTATGAGCGGCCACTCGCTTTAGCATCGGGACTCGCCTCTTGACTTGTTTCATAGATATCCGCTGTTCAAGCTAATCAGAGGAAGCTCCTTGATCATCATTCCCCAGCTTCGTGACCTCTTCCTTCCGAACACGAAGACCTTTCAACAAGGGATGCTGCACTCAAACTCAGAACCCAGTCTGGGGACATTTCAGTGAGGATCATGAGCTGAGGCCGCAACCAACGTCCAGCCGAAAGCCGTTGGCCCTGCGATTCCATATGTGTGGGCTGGTCACGTGGCGCTAAGGTTACCCGGGATGTGGATTGCGTAGAGGTCAAGTCGAACATGAGTCCTGCTTCCTTGCCATCTCTCAATGCAACAGAAGCAACATGTACTGCTGGACAGGCTTTCAATCAACCTGACTATCTGTTGAGCTGGCTGTTCAGAACAAGTTCCAATTGGGCCCTCCCTGCGCCGACCAGAAACACCACACAATTTCAAGCTTGGAGCCTGAAGAGGAAAGCCAAGCACTCTGTGCCCCCTTGTGACCAACATGTGGTCAGATCTGTGACTAGGTTGCCCTCAAGAGTTGGAGTTGGAGCAACAACCAAAAAGTCTTGGCTGAGCAACCGTCAACGGCTGGCTTGTGGCGCACTGTCAGCTCAACTCACAGTAAGCCCTCGACTCCGATGCGAGCGCTCCCTGGAATGACCTCAGCAGGATCAATGTGCAGACCTTCGAAAGGAAACCAACCGTTTTGCCTCCGCCGCCGCTAAAAAATGCTTGAGACAAACGCATGTAGCCGCAGCTGCCTACGCTTGCCTCGGACTGTCTGGGCTGCCATTCTACTGATACCAAAGTTACTCCCCCCAGGCCCCAAGTAGCTCGGACCCCAGCTCCAGACCCTTTTTCACACTCTGTCTCTAATCCCTTGCCTGCTCTCCCTTCGTGTGTTATGACATTCGCACGGAACCCTGCGTGAATCCCACCAATTTTGCTCTGACCTGAAATAACACATGGACCCCACGAAGCACCACGGACCCCGAAAGCTTGCCGCACATCTGCCCGAACAAACACGCGTCGTGACCAACCGAAGCCAAAGGGATCACTGAGAAGAACGAGGGCCGTCACAGGCGAGCCCCAGCTTAGCTCCAGGCCGCAGCCGGCAGGTGGTACCAATGTGCGGTGGCCTCGGTGGCTGTGGTTTTTGTTGCGCCGGCGCATTCCATTTCGAAAGCCCAGGCGCTCCATCATTTGGGGTGTGGGTCAAATTCAAGCCACCCGAAAAACCGGTCTTTGGTTCCAAAAAGGGGTACCTATTTTTGACCCACAGCCATTTACAGGGACAGCGCTAAATGACCAGAAATTGCAACATGGCTGTGGAACCTGGGCCCTATTTGTGATACCAAAGTGGTTGATCCCCACCCTCATGGCTGCTTTATCACTTGGGAAGTGGACCTCACAGCAAGTGGCATTCTAATGTGGCGCGCGCTTGTCCTGGTAAAAGTCCTGATCCCACACAAAGGCTCCGCCCGTGGCTCCGCCCGTGGCTCAAGAGGGCAAAGCAAAACAGCTAGCTGATCAAAGGTTGCTCGAAACAGACACCCCCCCAATCTAAAGCCATCATCGGAAAATAAGCAAGCATAAACTGCCGGCACAACACCCAGCAATTAAAATTAACAAGTGAACGAGCCAGAAGGAAAGCTCGCAAGCAGATGACCGAGCGAACGAGTGAAGGGGATGAGCAACCGGCAGGCAAACAAGAGGTAGAGGTTGACCACCCGTGTAATATAGCTGCACAAAGCCTGCAGATTTATGATGCGAGGTGGGTGTGCCCCCTACACTCCAAACACTGCAGGTTTGTCTCCGAGATGGCAGGCAGTCAGAAGTGGTTGTGTAGCTCGGGCGTTGGCGTGAACTGCTCGCAGTCCGTACCCGGCGTCCCGATGCGCCACACCTTAGCAGTCAAGTTGTCTCCGCCCAAAAAGACGGCAGGATATGTTGACCGAGGTGTCCTTTAGACGAATAAATGGAATTGGCAAATGGTTCGAACCACACTGAAACCAGGGCCATCCATTT